CTCGCCGGTGGAGAACGCTTTTTTAACTAACAAAAGATACAGAAAAGTGCTGAATTTATATATTGGCGTCAAATCCGATTACTTTCTTACGTACAAAAATATTTCATGTTTATTGACAACAGCTGAACTTAAATTTATCTTACGTTAATTTTGCAGAAGTTTATGAATCTTTTCAAAACCCAAATTATATCTTTTAAATTTTTTGTATGAGCAACCCGGGCGATAAATGGTGAAGTGACTGATATGAAGTGGGAGTTTTAAATCCTGGAAACGAAATTAGGTAGCTTTTGCCGGAAAGTTACCCAGCAGATCAATGGCAAAATCATTTTTGTTTGAGCATCCTGCAATGTGCATGCGCTCGTTTCTAATAGTTATCAAAAGAAATATTTTCAAGGGAAATTTTTGAATTTGGCATGAAATTGCTAAATTTGGAATTTGCTTCCGGGAAAGGAGATATTTCTTCCAGACCTGAGAGTGCCTGAATGAAACTGTGTGTGGGGGGGGAGGGAGGGCATGTGTGTGGGGGGAGGGCAATGGGGGGTAACTGTGACGTCATGATTGCAAACATTTACGACAGTGTGTGATGGCAAAGTGTTTCCAAAGGCATAATAACTATGAATGATGATTTGACTTTTTTAAAATCAGGGCTCCTTTACAGGTAGCTGGCTTGATATTACCTTGTAAATATTGTGTAGATACTTTGAGATTTTTCATAGTTGCACGAATCAATTCTCCGCATTTATCATCTCCTTGTAAAGCCATTAGTCCAGTAGGAGCTAGAAATATGAAATTTCTTGTGAAAAGTTCTATGCATTAACATTAGAGTACAGCATACAATTTTTTAATCAAGAGTAATCTTGTGTTCCACCAAAAGTCAATACTACTTTCACTTTAGACTGTGAAAGCAATTTATCATTGAAAATTTGTCTTCACTAGGAATGATCTGATGTTGAATCTTGGTTCCTAACATACTCCAGTTTAGTGTCTTCATCAGAAGAGATCTGATGATGAAACTTGAGTTCTTATATACTCCAGTTTAGTGTCTTCATCAAAAGAGATCTGATGATGAAACTTTAGTTCTTATATACTCCAGTCTAGTGTCTTCATCAGAAGTGATCTGATGCTGAAACTTGAGTTCTTATATACTCTAGTCTACTGTCTTCATCAGGAGTGATCTGATGTTGAAACTTGAGTTCTTACATACTCCAGTCTAGTGTCTTCATCAGGAGTGATCTGATGTTGAAACTTGAGTTCTTATATACTTCAGTCTAGTGTCTTCATCTGGAGTGATCTAATGTTGAAACTTAAGTTCTTATATACTCCAGTTTAGTGTCTTCATCAGAAGTGATCTGATGCTGAAACTTGAGTTCTTATATACTCCAGTCTAGTGTCTTCATCTGGAGTGATCTAATGTTGAAACTTAAGTTCTTATATACTCCAGTTTAGTGTCTTCATCAGAAGTGATCTGATGCTGAAACTTGAGTTCTTATATACTCCAGTCTAGTGTCTTCATCAGGAGTGATCTGATGTTGAAACTTGAGTTCTTATATACTCCAGTCTAGTGTCTTCATCAGGAGTGATCTAATGTTGAACTTGAGTTCTTATTTTCTCCACATTAAAGTCTTTATTGACAAAATTCACAACTTATATAACTTACTTCCTAAAGCAGAAGCCCAACTTAAGTGATTTAATGTGACACCACCAACAACACTTTTCTCATGGGTTTTATTGGGACTATGAGATAAAAACATGTATCTTAAATACTCAAATTTGCACATTTGATGAGTTATAACTCAAATACGGAGTATTGAGAAAACAAAGACCAACATCAATCAACCAAAACTCACCTTGAAAAAAATCCTTTTTCTCCAACTTTGGGTACAGCTAATAAGCACAAAATATTTGTAAATGGGTCAAATGCAATTTCTTTATACCAAATATGCAAAATATTTGTCGGACAAAAGATATTGTTTATTAAAGTCCAACTTATCCTCTAATATGGTGAATGCCAAACAGCAGACTAACTCAGATAATGGGCATATATCGGGATGAGGGAATTTGTCGATCTCAAGAAGCCATGCTACTTGCAAGAACCCAAAACTTAGGAAACCAAGGTTAAAATAACTTATGTACATTTGGAAAAACTATAAAATCAAAAGTTCCAGCATAGGATTAAATTACAATAGTTGCCACCCATTCAATAAAAATAAAGTATTAGCACAGCTAGTTCATACTACGAGTTCGGACCTCAAAGGGTCAATTGCAAATTATGAATATTGTCAGCTTCCTACAAAAAAACCCTAAACTGTATCTCAAGTTTAACTAAACTGCGTATGCTAGACAAAAAGTTTTGATGGTTTTCTCAAGTTATTTGATGGTAAAATTCGAGATGAAAGTTGACAAGTCTGGGAATTAATAGATGATTGAACGGAAGTAAAAGCTGTCAAACAAAGATTATTTCTCAAAACTATTAATACTCTAGCAACCTCTAAAATCATGTAAGCGCGCGTCAGAGACTTAACTAGAACGTTAATTGGGGAGGGAGCATATTCATATATTCAGTAGTGCCCTACTGATTTCTTTTGAAATTCAAATCACTTTCATGTATTAACAAAAACACGTATTTGCTTACACTGTCAGTTACAAAACCTTCATGATGTTCCACACTTCCTGTCAATATTATACATGACAAATGAATGCATTCACATAAATGTACCTTGAACCATGTAGAAATGATCAACAACATTGCTACCGCATCCTAAAACAAGCTTTCCTTCCCGCAAACCAGAAGAAAAACATCGACCTCCAAAGACAATAACAGTTCTGTACATATTAAACATGGTTACTCAACAGTGAAAACAATGTCACACTTGCTTCCTCTTATATAAAGTATTCGAAATAAAAACAACAAAAAAGTCAAAACCAGTGAACTATGTAACAACTGGAATGATAACTTCGCCGCCATCTTCGAAGGCAGCATGATGCCAGCTTGAAGGTAGCTCTAGTCGCTTTTGTAAAAAATATGGCATTTTTATATTTATAAAATTTAAACCGTGCGACATGGGATTTGGAGAGATAAAAGGATGCCCAAGAAGCTGCTAGGCTAAGCATTGGTTAAGGCTCTCCGGATATAGACATCTATACTAAATACATAAAATTAAAAGACAGTAGCTATAAATTCTTCGTCACTTTAGGTCTTTAATACTTGTTTTTCCTCATGATCTTCATTTTTTCCAGTACAAGCTTTGAGTGGAAGTTTTCAAGCATGGCTATCATTATATTAACAAATAGCTACATATTCCAAGAAGGGTAACTTTCTTTATGACACTGCAATTCAATGAAAAGGAACTTACAAGACCAAAACAAGCTTTTCAATGTATTCAAAGCCCAAACTCTTTTTCCTAGACACTAGTTTACTTTTTAAAGAAAACACATAAAAATGTAACAATAGAAAACCAAAAATGATTCCAAACTGTATATGCAATTCATCGATATTTCTTTTGAACATATTTTCAGTAGACTCCGTGTTACTTATCTTCGTCAAAATGCTTGGAATCATTCGTGTTTTCGTTGGTCAATGAGTCCTCATCCAAAACTCTCGAGCGTACGCTAGGTGCTTGAACTACGTTCAATTTCATTAAGCTATCTTCAACCTGGCGTCGTCATTTCTTCTCTGTCAGGCTTGATTTTGTTTCACTGTTGGAAGTTTCATTTTCAAGTATTTCTTCTACCTCAATCCATGAATTAGAACATCTGTAATAAATGTTAGGGAATTGTTTATGCACAAAATATGCACAGACAAAGTTATGGAGAAGAAGAGAAACATCTCTAACAATGTCACAGATATTACGAATGGCGTAAGAAAGTGTTGATGACTTTAATATGTCAAAACAAGTTTAAGAAGACAAAAAGCGTGTCAAAAATATATGATTGAAAATTTGCTAACCGCATGTACAAGCACCAATTTCAGAACTCGCTCCGTCACAAATTAATGGAGAATTAATCTCAGCATGCGTAATCAACTGCACCAATTCTCCAAGTTCATGGTCATGGTAACGACCAACTGTATGTACTAGTACCGATATGGAGTAATTAGATCGCTTTGTATTAAATTTTCAGAAAAACTATCTGCGCATGCGCAGTCTGCCTTAAGCATGCGCAGTCAACTTGACTAGCTGCCCAACTTCATGGTCATGGCAACGACCAACTGCATCTACTATCACTGATTTTGAAGTAAATAGCATGCTTGGTAACAATTTAATAAAGAAATAGTCTGCGCATGCGCTTGAGCATAGGCAGTCCACCGGAATAATTGTTCATAGTCATGGCAACAACTAATTAGATCCACTTGCACTACTTTCGTGGCAATTACCTCACTTAGTCGCAAATTATTAAAGAAATCATCTGGTAATGCGCAGTAGTGACTTAATTAATACCACAACTTTCGTAAGCCTCTGAATTTGTGTATGCAGTGGCTTAAGGGGGCCAAACTTCGGTCGCGACCGCACTCTCCCTGCGTAACCCGAGCAAAGTCTAGAGAGTATAGTAAAGTGGGACCGACACCCCCACGAAGGTCATAATCAGATGAGCGAACTTCCGGCTTCAATTATCTTACTATATTTTATACATGGTGCGTTATCCAGTGTAATATACATATCAGTGGCTCTCACAAAATTTCCGGTGATGTAATTACAAGAAAATAGGCACCAATAGCACACACCGACGAATAGCACGTGACCACTACGTGTTCCGAGTAGTGAGAATGTAATATAATTTCCCATTTGTTTGTTTGTCAAAAACGATTAACCAAGGTAAATTAAATTAGTTCAAGTAAAAGTTTATTTTGACTGTAAGGATCTTTCATTAACAACATTACGATTTGAAATATGAAAGTTCAACTCTGACATTGCGAATGAAATGGATGAAAATCATAGGATTGCGAATGATTTTGAAAATCTACTTGTTATTGGAGACGACGACAACCACAACAGACAAGAAAATGCTAGTCAAGTTAATACGTCATGTGAAAATTGTGGACATAGAGAAAAAGTAAGAGGACGGAGAGACTTGAATAATCTCGATAATGATATTATTAATTTGAATGAAATTGAGAACAGACATGTTGGCAATCAAGAGCAAAATCTAGGAAGATCAAATTCAAATGTACTGTCTCAGGTGGTTAATCGTCAGAAAAATACAGAAGAAGATATAGAACGCTCTGGAATTGACCATCAATTTGTTTCAACAAGTACCACAAAAAATAATGGTTTTTCATTGGAACATCTGGGAAGATCAAATGTACTGTCTCAGGTGGTTAATCGTCAGAAAAATACAGAAGAAGATATAGAACGCTCTGGAATTGACCATCAATTTGTTTCAACAAGTACCACAAAAAATAATGGTTTTTCATTGGAACATCTGGGAAGATCAAATGTACTATCTGAGGTGGTTAATCGTCAGAAAAATACAAAGGAGGATATAGAATGCTCGGGAAGTGACCATCAATTTACTCAAACAAACACAACAAAAAATAATGGTTCACCACAGATCAATCATCATTTTCAAGGTAGGAAATGAACTTTACCAAAAGCATCTGACTATTGTTACTGGTAGTGTGCATTAAGGGGGAAGGGGTTGTCTATATACCTCTGCAATACATGAGACATTTCTTACTTAATTTTACTGGAGAAAGTACTTTGTTGCCCAACTTACTTTTGACCCACATGTTTTTGTCAAGTTTTTAACTATTGATTCTTGCTGTCCGATTAATTCCTGTTTAGCATGGAAACTTTTACTTAATGTCCACAGCTGCACTCAGAAGGCTATCCTTGATCACCTAAATACTTCTGAGCATTGCATTCTATGGAACAATACTGTTGTTTTTGGTCGTGGTGAAGAAGTCAACTTTTTCATAAATGATGAAGCCACTTCAAGGAATCATGTTGAATTAGTTGGCCATATTTTGTCAGATGGCCAAGCTCAGTTTATGATTAGGAACGCAAGCAGCAAAAAAATGATTTACTTCAACAAGCAAAGAATCAAAAGTAATTCTAAATGGATTCCATTAAAGACAGGAGATGAAATAGCAATTTCAGGCTTGGTGTTCACCGTTCATATCGTTCCTGGAACATTTCATGACATGTTTTCTATTCAGTTTGATTTGCCAAAGGTTTATGGAACAAGCATTGTCAATCCATCTTACTCTAACATCAAGTATAAAACATGCAACCACGAGACGAATGTTCTACCAGAAATGCAAGTACCTGTTTCTCCACATCAATCTTATCACTATCCACAGCCATATCCTAATTTAGCAGGTAACTATTTTGATGTACATGTCATGTTATTCCTTTTTCAAATTGAAATAGACATTTCATATCTAAATGTAAGACAGCACATGTTTAAAAATGCCACATTCAACACAGCTTATAAAGAAACAAAGGATATTCTGAAAACCGGCATTTTGAAAATCAAAAATATTGTCAAATACCCTTATTTTATGTGTGTATTTGATTGACCCAATGACGTTTTTTCATAATATCCTGTTTTTGATGAAACTTGTAGTTATCAAAGTCTCAAGACCGGTGCTCAAAAAGAAATAGTGAGCTTCCTAAGGCTAACAGCAGGTCATTATAAAATTTTGGCAGTTTTTGATAGCATAGGAAGTTTACTTGGTCTGCCAGACAAAATTTTAATGTCAGCTCATATTTTTTCTTTTTTTTTTGAGCCTTGCTCTAGAGAACTGATTAATTCACCTACAGTATATGTTACTGTCTGAAACAGCAATTTCTAAATCAAACATTTTTAGATCACACAAGGGAAACTCCAAGGGAAGAACCAATTAACATGGAAATATCATTTGAAATGGTTCAGAATGCTTTCAAACCCTATGAAGGAAAGGAAGGTTATATCGATTTGGCCAATTTACAATACATTGCTCTTGAGGTTGTTGGCGAATGGAAAGAACTTGGTCGAGTACTGGGATTGTTTGATTGGCTAGTTATAATAATAGACAATGACTACAGAAAAATTGCTGAAAAAAGCTATCAAATGATGAAGACTTGGGTTTACTTGAAACCACATGAAGCAACACTTGAAAATTTGGGTTCAGCTTTGAAACATTTAACGGTTGAACGCAGAGACCTGGCCGAAAAATATTGTAACATCGCCGTGCAAAGCCGCGGCGAAAGAAATGGCCACAACTGATTTTAAATAATGGGTATAAAATTTTGTATTTAATGGATTTTGTAATTTTATTCTAAAATCTCTAATTCTAGATTTGAAGCATTTTTACGGGGGCTGGTGAAATACTATTTATCAGAAAAAAAACAATAGTCGATTGCATATTCTACGAACTAATAGTGGTTTCAGCTTTCGTGTTTAAGATTTTTACTTTAACAAGCGAACAAGGCGCGACGAAAAAAGTGCATCCTTTACTCTATTTAAGAAAACAAATGTGCAGTTTTTTTACATGATTTCATTTATTATGTTGAATTTTGTGTATTGTATAGCAAAGAGCAAATAAAAAAAATAGAGCAAATAATAAATAAGTAATTTAGATAAAATTTATAAAAATCAATTAAATAATCGTAAAATTAGAACAATTTTTATAATTACGAAAATATAACTCAATAATCGTGGAATTAGAAACAATTTTCAAATTTTACAAACAATAACTAAATCATCTTAAATTTCAAATTTAAATGTCCTATGATGCAATCTCCATTTTCATATTAAAATCACTCAACAAAACATAGCGATGACAGTCTTGGAAAGTCACATTTCTATTACAGGTAGCAAAATAGTGCAATGTGCGTCAATATAGCTACAATTGGCACGTCACAAATGCACGAATAAAAACGAAAATTAAAACGACCACTTTGTGTCGACTCGACCTACTTCAACAATATCGAAATTTGGGACAGGTATTACTTTCTACTATTTTTAGAAGGTGGATTTAATATCGAAAGGTATTTGCTCCAGCGCTAGTTTCACTACGATAGTAGTAATTTCCCGCGCTGAATATTCGGAAAGTGCAAGAGCTGTCCGCTAAACTGAGGAAGCTCCATACAATTATTCATGACGGTCTTGTCAGACATAACTTTTTGCATATCTCATTACATTCAACATGCATCACATTCCAAAACGTTTTCATCCCTTCCATTCCCTTGTTACCTGTGCCATATAACATTTTATTGCGACTGTGTATCTGTGGATCGGTTAGGAATGTTGTGGATCGATGATCATCAGTTGTCCATCCTTGATGATCAGTGATGAGTAATTCACCACCCGATTTCTCGTAGGTAAAATGGCTGAAACGGAATAAAATGGATGTTCATGTCTTTATAACGCGACTCAATATTGTTCTATACGTTTTATAGTCTTTGTTAGGATTCTTTGCGCTTCATGCTAATTTTTCGTATTCAACTATTACCTCCCTTGTACTATTTTTCTAATTGTAATTTTGATATTATATACGTACAATAAATAAAAATAATTTGTAGAGAGGTTCACGCTGTACAGCAGACTGCCATTTTCTTTGTTTTGACATAGAATAGAGAATACATAGATGGGCAACTCGAGTCTCAAATTCTACATTTTAACCCACTTTACGTCTCCCACTTCGTTTATTTTCGTAGTAAACATTCTACGCTTTACTGGCCAGAGTAATGGTGGGCGTTAAATTTTTTACATTTAAAGATTTCTAGATGAAATTGCCACCAAGAGAGAAGACAAAAGCATAAAAATGTTTTGGTGCAAATTAAATGATGACGTCGCTTCACCACTGCCTGTAGTGAATACGACATACAAGTAATACTAAAGTAAATGATTTGAGCCCGGGAGTATTGTTACATGTTTGTAAATGTAGATTGTACAGGTTGATATAGTCCTGAGAAGGACTGTTTTTGTTGTTGTTGACTGACGTTTCGACAACCTTAGCGGGTTGACTCTGAAGATGACTACCGCTAAGGTTGTCGAAACGTCAGTCAACAACAACAAAAATAGTCCTCAGGACTATACCAACCTGGACGATCTACATCTACAAACATACAAGAAACACGTAGGAAATAGTAGGCTATCAAAAAATACTGGCACCACAATTCTCAGTGTTCTACAAAATACTTTGGTAGAAAAACAGGAGCAATGGAAGACATCTGATGGATAAATACACCAAGTTTAATTCAAAAATAGATTTGGTCAAAAAATAGTTTAGTCAAAAAGTAGGTTTGTTCAATAAATAGGTTTGTTCAATAAATAGGTTAAGTCAAAATATAGGTTTAGTCAAAAATGAAACTTGTGGGAAAAATCGTTAGATTTATCTTCAACAAACCTGAATGCCAGCACCAATTTACAACCAACACCATTTGTATTGACAAAGTCCCAGTTGTTGGTTAATCTGGTAAAGTTTCCTTGCATGTATGGTTCAACATTGTAAATCATAGAAGTCGGTTGGCCATCACGTTTGAAGAGTTGAAGCATTACAACTGGTAAGAATTGGATTGGACTGACTTCAATTCCTGAAAATGGATAGCAATTTGTAAAAAGGATGGTAGAATCCATGAGCAAGTTGAAAGACAGTTTTTTCATCGAGAAAGCTATCTACTTATCATCATATTTCAAGTATATTAGAAGTAGTGAAATTTTATTGAATAAAGACGGTTGTCTGACTTCCAGTAACTATGTATATTAAACTCATTCCGCGTGATATTTTTGTGTTTGTTTCAAATACCGTGCTTGAAATCATTCATTAACCTTTCTTGTACAATTCTTCATTAAACATTCCTACGTAGTAACGGGCAGTCATCTGACACGTGACATCCTCCAGGTATTGCTCAACAGCACGTGACTTCTTGTATTGTTTTCCAAGATACTTTCCCATAGGCTCATCCTGACTAAGGTATTCTACCATGTAGGGATCCCTTAAAGCTCCTTCCTTCTCTTTGGAGAGACTCAGAGGTTCCCCGATGTACACAAGAGTCCTGTGAGTTCGCCAGCGAGCTCGAATTGCGTCATACGACCTTATTTCACATTCTAAAGGGAAAACAAGATATTGTCAGTTCTACCGAAAAGGCATCGCACAAACATATACCTTGACAAGCCGTAGGGGATTTTAAGGTCGACCCCGTCTCTCAGATGCATGTATTTTACATGTTTGTGGATGTAGATCGTCCAGGTTAGTAACTTGTACGATCTACATCAACAAACATTTAAAGATACTCCCGGGTTCAAACCATTCACTTTATTACATGTTTTTTGTCTGATGAGTTTAAACTCGTTTCGTGATTGCTGGTTGCCACATGGCAACGGTGGGAAAGAAACAATTAAATCAATTTAATTACGATTCAATTTCTTTAATGTGAAGTGTCTCAAGGCTGATTTCCATTCAGTGCAAATTGTCACGTGATCACGTGATCGCGATCAAGTTCTTTTGAATTGTGTCTAGCAGTGTAAAACTGTTCCGGTCGAGAGCTTACAATGGAAAAAAAGTGCTCGGAAAAAGTCGATCGCGCGACAATTTGCATTGAATGGAAATCAGCCTTTAGCAAGATACAAATTGCAAAGGTGATACAAGTTGATGGCTTGGAACCACGTACGCATGTGGAAATAAAATATATCAAAATATTTTCCAACTTCATACATACGCCATTCGTGATATCAGGAAAGAAGAAAGGCGAAGCAAAAACATGGCGTACTTCAGAGTTAACAATTTTCAGTTTGAGCACGCGCGCTGGAATAAGGGCAGTAATCAATAACAGGGAATTGCAAAGAAGCAGAAGCGGTCAAAAGATGAGGTCATCTGTTTTGGTACACAATTAAGTTTTACCAAGCAATGTACTGAAGACACTCACCATGTACATCGTTATCCCCTTCGTCATCGGAGTCACTTCGGTAAAAAGTTGGCGTGACAGCAGGAGATTGAGTATCGATGGTTAAAGTTTCTGTAGTCTCGGAAATTCTATCAACCATTTTAGCAGAAGATTGAGTATTGATTGTTTCTGCTGTCTCCGAAATTCGATCAACCATTGGAGCTTTTTCTAAAAGGAAACATTCAATTAATTTTTTTGGTTTCTGGTGCTGAAACTCTCATGTCTTGAAACATCATCGATTTCAAACTAAATTTCACATAGAGTATTATAATTATTACCAAATTAAGTATTATAATTATTACCAAATTAAGTATTATAATTATTACCAAATTAAGTATTATAATTATTACCAAATTAAGTATTATAATTATTACCAAATTAAGTATTATAATTATTACCAAATTAAGTATTATAATTATTACCAAATTAAGTATTATGTTTTACAAAATAACACAATAGAACGGTTCCACAGATTGGTCTATAGCCGTGTCTGCATTTAGCCTGTAGCTACCAATCTGAGCTCAACCAATCAAAATCAATCAATCAAAAGAATTTCATATCAATCACAAATACATGTAGAAGGAAAAATTAAAACTTGTGTTTTAAATTTGTCTGTTTCACATTACTATTTTATAAAAGAAATAAAAGATGTTTTTCGTGTTTGCACTGGCTTATGCAAACTTCGGAGACGTTTGTGAGAACTCTCGAGCAGATGCAACCCTTGACCAAAGGCCTCCTTGGTATGCATAAGCATGTGCAAACTATAAACATTTTTTAATTCTTAAATCAAACATGTGAGACGAACGACAAACCTCTTCAATGTCAACATGTTTCTACTAAATATTTGCTTTAAATAAATGTCGGATAACTCCGTACGTTTTAAGATCATGTGAAAGTAAAACACGATTTTACGTTACTGTCTCACATGTTTGTAGAAGCACGTAGATTGTCCAGGATAGCGAAGTCCTGAGCACTGTCGGTGTTGTTGTTGACTGACGTTTGGACATTCTAAGTTGTGGTTATCCTCGTGAAGAGAATATGTCAGGTTGGCCATATTATAAGCAGTCAACATTAACACCAACAGTTCTTTTCTGGACTGCACTAAACATGCAACGATACTCCTGGGTTCAAACCATGCATTTTCACTTTATATATTATAACTTAAATTAACCTATATTATTATATGGCAAGCGTCACTTCCGGCCAAAAGGCTCATAAACATTTTTACCGGTCCATTATTTTCCCGTAATCGACCACGGTTCAAAAACGCGTAATTTTACAGTCAAATGTAAACAAACTTCGTAAAGCAAACAGCAAAACGCAAAAAAAAAACGAAACAAAAACCATTTACGAATGTGAGTCGAAGGAAAAACACTTGGAAAGCAGTTTAACTATCCAGACGATAAAATTTGAAACGATTTATTTTTTACTGACGAAAACTAGAAAAATGAAAGGCAACCCGTACAGAATAACAAAGACGAGAAAGAAAGCAAGCTTCATTTCAGGTCAAATAACGCCATATAATCATCCTTTTAATAACCTCGCTTTCTCGGTCTTTACTGAGAAATATCGGCCTGTACAAAAAAACTTCGGTCCGATATTTCTCCGTAAAGACCTCGAGCTCGGTTATTAAGGGCTTAAGTAAAGGATTTGTTTATAACAACACAAAAAAACAGCGATAAAATAAATACCACAGCTATCATGAAGTCGTAGTTCTTTTCGTCTCAAGTAAAGCGGTTCCGTTGTGCCGTATGTAAAACGATCCATTTCAACATAGGAAGGAAGTTCAAGAATCGTTAATGCCGCGTTGATCTTCTTTTTACTGTATTCATTGTGAGTGATAGTGGTTGGATTAAGACAATAATGAAGGAACAAGGTCATGGAACAGGACTTTAACAAATATGACATAATCCTTTGATTCGTTTGGCTGTATTGTAATACACAACTTGCTTTGTACAAAGCATTGATAAATTCATAATACTGTTCTCTGCTTTTTAGAGAATCCAAGTTTTTGTGAGCGGCCAAGCTTTCCTTCAGTTCGACCAGAGCGCTTTCAAGATAATGACACTTATTCTCTTCTGTTTTTGATTTCCAGTACTCAAATAGCATTTCTCCTGCCCGACGCTACAAAAAGTGAAAAGGTTTAGAACTTTAGAGCGTTGTGCAGTTGATAACGTAGATTGGATCTAAATCATCTACTTGAACTGTTTTTGGAATAAATAGCTCCCTTACAATACAGTAGAACCTGTATTAAGGGACACCGTATTAAGCGGTCACCCTGTGTTAAGCGGTCATATGGCAAAATCCCGAAAATTTCATAGTATAAATACCATTAAAGTGACCTTTATTAAACGGTCACCTCTATTAAGCGGACGCGGTCACCTTTTCCAATGTCCCAAACTTAATTTTTCATTGTTTTGAGACTGTATATACCGACCAGGTTAAGTAAATACACCCCATAATAGAATATATAATTCAACATTTTTTCTGGAACATGTCACTTATATTGTATACATGTCTTCATATTGTTCAATATAAGGACATGTATGTATTTATGTATTTATCTTCCGTAATGACTCAAAAGAGCCAACAGTATTTTCTGTTTTTGTGGACGAATTACAACAGTAATTTAAACTTTTCTTATGTCCCTTCAGCCATTGACATGAAAACATATCTCCAAGAAAGGGATATATATACGCACGGAATTTATAAGTTATAACCACTTTCTCTGTTGACACGCTTGCCATTGATTATTTTTCAGCAGTTTGAGCCGTGACATTATTATGTATACTATTTTAAATTTCCAGATGAAACTAAGAAAAAAATTGCTTTGCATCGTGTTGTTATTTGATTACACGTAGCCCGTCTGGCGATTTTCCTGAAAACCTATATTAAGCGGTCAACCCGTATTAAACGGTCACACGAGAAATCCCTAAGGTTGACCGCTTAATACAGGTTCTACTGTACATAGTATATGCAAATAGCACCGGAGGCTGAGTGTCACAGTTGCAGTGGCTTGGAGGTCCAGACGTCGGCACTCTCCCAGCGCACCACCTAAGTGTACCGATGAACTCAAGCTTGCTAATGACATAGCGCAGCATAAACCGAATTTCCCACCGAAATTTCAACATGCGATGCTCTAGTGCTCAATTATCTCGGTGTAAAAGGAAGCATGGACTGAAAACGGGATAATATACTTTCAAAATTTTTCTATTGTTTACATGAGCTTTCCTCATAAATTAAACCATAACATTCAAAAAACTTTTAAAATACAACTCACTAACTTACTATGTGTATACCTTGTGTCGAGCAAAGAATAATGGTGTATATTTCGCCAGATCTGCAGCCTCGATGGCAAACTTATAAGCCTGCATATAGGGATGTTTTTCTTTCAAATCATATTTCTGTGAGATTAGATTGAAATCATCAATGGGGATCTGTTGAAATGTGTTGACCAACAAACCCAAACTACAAGAAAGACCTTTCTTGTCGACTTTAGGAAGGTTTTTAAGCACGTAAACAGAATCGAGAAGGAGCACTGCCGAGTTGTACCACTGACCGAGAGTGGACTGGATCTCACCTTTGATTTGAACGCAAACACCCCGTATGAGGTCATGATCGTGTTTTTCTTTGTATTTCCACATTCCAACATTTTGTTTCTCGTTCAACAATGCGTCAAGGATTCTTCCAGCGCCTGTGATTGTATTATAGTACATGGTAATGTAAGGCAAAGCAGGAAGTTCTCAACAAATCACTCGTGTAAACATATTTATGAATGAAAAATAGTGAACAAGAACAGTCTCTACACTATCTAATACATATATAACTTATTATATAATATAAGAAATAAGATAACGTGTGTCAGTGTAGGTAGTGATGAATGAACAACAGAGAACAAGAACAGTCTTTACACTAACTAAAATATATAAGAAATAAGATAACGTTTGTCAGCGTAGGTAGTGATGAATGAACAGAGAACAAGAACAGTCTTTACACTAACTAAAATATGTAAGAAATAAAATAACGTTTGTCAGTGTAGGTAGTGATGAATGAACAACAGAGAACGAGAACAGTCTTTACACTAACTAAAATATATAAGAAATAAGATAACGTTTGTCAGCGTAGGTAGTGATGAATGAACAGAGAACAAGAACAGTCTTTACACTAACTAAAATATGTAAGAAATAAAATAACGTTTCTCAGTGTAGGTAGTGATGAATGAACAGAGAAAAAGAACAGTCTTTACACTATCTAAAATATATAAGAAATAAGATAACGTATGTCAGTGTAGGTAGTGATGAATGAACAACAGAGAACGAGAACAGTCTTTACACTATCTAAAATATATAAGAAATAAGATAACGTGTGTCAGTGTATGTAGTGATGAATGAACAACAGAGTACGAGAACAGTCTTTACATTAACTAAATATATAAGAAATAAGATAACGTGTGTCAGTGTAGGTAGTGATGAATGAACAGAGAACAAAAACAGTCTTTATACTATCTAAAATATTTAAGAAATAAGATAACGTGTGTCAGTGTAGGTAGTGATGAATGAGCAACAAAAAAACAAGAAAAATCTAAAGTTGCTGAATTTGTAAAGCGTAAAGAAATAGTTTTCACCATACATGCCAGACACTGACAAATTACTACACCGACCTTGTAAGTCTCCAGAAGTTCTTAAAACACGTGCCTTTCTGATACGAAGCTGTGGGGCAATAGGTATTTCAGGTTTTTCTTTCATAATAAAATCAACCATATCAAGAAGAGTTTGAGAACCTCCCTGCCAATAGATGTATCGGTCGATAAGAAACAGAATGGCTGCCATATTTTCGTACTCTTTTCTTTGTACAGAATGGTGGAGAATTTCCTTATAACATAAACATGACATCATCCGTATTTTCTTTTGAACATTGAAATGTTTATTGACGCGCAGATTATTTAGAATTGATATGGAAGAATGCGAGCACAGTTTATTTTTTACAATCTATTCAACCAAGAACCCATGTGCATTTATTTAAGAATGAATGCAGAAGCTGCGACTTGGTTTATCAGTGTACAGTTGGTGTTGGTCAGTCTATTAAGCGTATTTTTGTGTCTCGATATTTACAAAAAAAGATGTTTATGAAACCAAGTTTGCACAGGCTTATGCAAACCGAGGAGACCTTTGGGAGAACTCGAGAGTAGATCATTGCAAGCCCAAGACCGAAGGTCGAGGGTTGCACATGCTCGAGAGTTCTCACAAACATCTCTGAGGTTTGCATAAGCCAGTGCGAACACGAAAAACATCTTTTACTTTTTTTATAAAATAACAGTAATGCCAAACACACAAATTCAAAACAAACGTTTTAAATTTTTCTCTAACATGCATTCATGATCGATTTGCAAATTCTCTTTGATTGATTGATTTAAAATATGGTAGAGCTCAGTTTGGTTTGCACAGGCTAATGCAAAATGCGAGTACTCAATCATTGTTTTTATTTCATAAAATTTATTGACTACCAGTACGACAAAATAAGGAATATACAGAAAGGTAACACATGTCTGAACCTTTGATGTTTTTGTCCTCGCGCATGCCTTGACGCGCGATATCGGCCGCCATTATTCCAGCCAGTTGATTAGGCATTTTAACCTGATTTTAACTTTTTCCCAAACACTGAAATGATCGAAATGCTTGAAATATTCTCCATTCACTACTCAGCAATTAATGACGTCATGTTCTCTGCGTGGTTGGAAACAAGGGAGAAACACAAAACTTAATCAACTGGCTAGAATAATGCTGAATGGAGAAACACATGAGTGACCCTAGATTTTCCAGCGATCTGATTGGATGTGCAGCAGTGAGAAGGGGATTGGGTTGGAGTGTCTATTTGATTAAGGTCTGTGATCTCATAACTCAATTCTCATGCAAAGCATTTGTTGGTCTCGTTTTATTTCATGAATATTTCATAAGCCACCTCTTAATTCTAAAAACATATACTTTAAATGCATTTCAAGTTTTCAAATCAAAATGAGCAAGCAAACTTTTGATTGTTGCTACAAACTGATAAATTCAATAAAGCTGCAGCAATTGGCAAAAAAATGTCATTCACTGTTTAGTTTGGTCTGATTTTAGTTTTTCAGATGACCTCCCATGCAGTAAATAAATAAACATAAATCTACTTGATCGCTTCTCATTTTCACATTTGGTAAGGAAAATTTGAATTACCAGTATTAAGCCGTTAATAACCGAGCGCGAGGTCTTGACGGAAAAATATCGGACCGAGGTCTTTTATACAGACCGAGCCCGTAGGGCAAAGTTTGTACAAAAAGACAGAGGTCCGATATTTCTCAGTAAAGACCGAGAAAGCGAGGTTATTAAAAGGATTATTATATGGCATTATTTGACCTGAAACGAAGCTTGCTTTCTTTCTCGTCCTTGCTGTTTTTTACGGATTGGCTTTCGCTTTTCTAGTTTTCGTTCATAAAAAATAAACCCGTTTCAAATTTGTAAGTTTAGGTTTCAGTTTAACTGTTTTCCAAGTGTTTTTCCTTCGAATCACATTCGCAAATGGTTTTTTGTTTCGGTTTTTTTGCGTTTTATTGTTCGCTTTATGAAGTTTGTTTACATTTGAAAATTACGCGTTTTGTAAAATTACGCGTTTTGGACCGTGTCGATCACGAGAAAATAATGGACCGGCAAAAATGTTTCTGAGCCAATCAAAGCGCGCCATTTATCCGGAAGTGACTCTTGCCATGTAATAATTAAAATCAAAATCAATCAATTGATTATTGTTAAATTCTTTAGAAAAGTAATTTAATAATATTTGACCCAAACAAAATCAATCAATTGATTATTGTTAAATTCTTTAGAAAAGTAATTTAATTTATTGTCTCCCATGAATGAAGGTAATAAAATTGTATGGCATATGTAGAAATGAGCTGGCTTTGTTACTGCTTGCACACTGCTACACCCAAGCCTGGAGCATTGGACTCACAAGTGACGCAAAAGGCCCCATCACTACCCCTTCCAGGTCAAGACAAGGATCATTAGACACACAACTCACCCAAAAGGCCCCATCACTACCCCTTCCAGGTCAAGACCAGGAGCATTAGACACACAAGTGACCAAACAGTTCCCATCACCACCCCTTCTAAGTCAAAACCAAGAGCATTTAAAATCTTACCTGTAAAATATCAAAATTAGTCAAATGTGGAAAATTGTCTGATTTCTTGGTAATCAAATCTTTTACATTCAAACTTTTCTCTTTGCTTGCATTAAATTTGTCCACATATTGCCTGAATTAAACAGAAATTCATGTTTACTAATGACCTTATATGATATTGGTGATTTTTCCGAACAGTTCACAAAACCCTATCTAAAAATTGTTTCTTTACAATCCTTTGCAGGATTGCATTAACCTAGACAATCAAAATGTATAAACATGTCACACAAAAAGACGAATAATTAGGTCAAATAAATGTAGATCGTCCAAGTTAATATAGTCCTAAAAAGGACCATTTTTGTTGTTGTTGACTGATGTCTCGACAACCTTAGCAGTAGTCATTTTCACAGTCAAAAGGTATCTTCAGAGTCAGAGCCATTTTGACTCTGAAGATGACTACCGTTAAGGTTGTTGAAACGTCAGTCCACAACAACAAAAACAGTCCTTCTCAGGACTATACCAACCTGGACGATCTACATTTACAAACATGTAACGATACTCTCGGGTTCAAACCATTTACTTTATTAGGTCAAATAAGAGAGAAATTTGCCTTTGACAACAAACACAGCTGATTTTCTTGCAATTCTTTCAACAACTTACCACTTTTCTGGAACAAAGGGCCATGAATTGCTTTTCGCATCTTCCAAGAGACTCACCAACTCATCAGATAGTAGCTTCATCCAGCACGTGAAGACGTCAAATTTTTGATCAATCTTTAACATGTTTGTGTCTTCCATGTTTCTTGTGTTGACAAATTCATTAATAGAAGGACTTAACAAAGCAACTTCTTCAAAATATTTTCCATCAATTTCAGATCTAGAAAGTTCCACTAAACCAAGTTCGTTGAGTCTAGTAAGAAAGGAAGTGTCTTTCAGCGGTAGAGACCTTCGAAGATCTTTCAGTTGTATCATAATCAATTTCTCAGAAATACTTAAATATTCCCAGAGTACATGTAATGTATCTGCAACAGAAGTTTTACTTCTGATGCCCATCATACATTCATTTTCCTTGATGTTCAGGATTTTTGATGCCTTAACCAACATTTTAGAAGCTTTTGGATTTAATATTTTCTCTTTCACAAAGTAACTTTGAAACATGATATCTTGCCACTGTTTTTGATAAGTAATCTTGTCAACATTAATACCATTAACCATTACTTTGGTACCTGATTCTGGAGTCCTTTGACTTCTGGAAATCACAGAAAGAACAGTAGTTTCCAGTTCTTTTATTACAGACTGTAAGAAGTCAAACATCTCTGGGTTTTCAGCATTGAAAAGATCATCAAAACAAACCAATTTAAAACTGCTAAAAACTAGAATTATTGCATGCCTTTTTTCCTCAAGAGAAAATCTTTGAGAAGCAAGACGGATGATGACATCATTGAAATTCTTTTTCGATCTTGCCAATTGTATTGCACAGTTTATAACACAATCGACATTGTCATGCTTGTCAATTTTTATGAAAACTGCTTCAGATTCCTTGATATAGCAACCTTCTATCAAGCTTTTTATAATTGCCTGGCAATATGTTGTTCTACCTGATCCAGGATTGCCAACAACGTAAATGAGTCGATGTTTACTTTGATCTTCCTGAATCAGACTGCAAATCTCATCAGTGGATATGTTGGTAGAAAGTTCACTTGCTTGAGAAATAATTTCTTGCCCAAACTTACCCACTGAAAGTTCTTTTAAAGCCCAATTATTCATGCTTGATCTTGGTCAATGGACAATATAGTGCTCTGCAACAACACTTTTCGTAATTATATAAACTTCAGTCGTTGCAATCAACTTTCGAAATTCAAAAATCATATCATACGAAAAGTAAAAGTCACCTTCAGAAGGCAAGACAACTGAGTTTTGGAGGAAAACCAACACAAGCGATACTAGTATTTAGTTCAATCTTCGGAATGCTTCTTTGTCAAATTACCAAGAATCACCCACTAGTCCCTACTCAATTTTCAAGAGCTTTTCCAAAAAGCACATGACTAAAATACGTCAAATCTATGGACATATCACATAAAATGTCAGTTAAACATTAAAAAGATAATCACATGCTTATGTCATTTAGCAGCGTGCACTTTGGAAGAATCTGGCTTATACAGAAAGAAAGAAGCGTGTTTCTCGATAACTTTGCACATCAAAAAAGAATTACGTTCCGTAGCTAGGAAAGTTTTATTCGCTGTTGCGCCAGTAACGCATGACTTAATTCAAATTTTTCTTCGGGCAAGGTTAAAAATTTGAATCGCAAATTATTTTGAGCATCGTGTCAACTGTACTACGAAAGCAGGCACTCAGCTAGCCGTTTATATCTTCAACTTTTTTCGTTATGGCAGATCCTATCCAAGTATTAAAGCAGCCACATGTTATATGTCGTCTTGTTTCTATAGTAAGTATGTTGAGATTTTTTATGTTGACGTAGAAATATGTTCGCCCAAGACCAAAAGGCAAAAGCCATGTTTGTTCAAATATTATTTTTGGACTTTGATGTTCGCGCTCTTCTTTTGATGCCTGGATTCAGAAAACGATGTATAGAAGTTGAACAGTGGTTAACAAGATGCAACAGTTGTTCTGATGTTACCAGAAAGCAAAGTTTGTGGCCCAAATTTCTTCGTTAATTAGAAAATATTTCCGAATAATGCAAATATGCTTAAGCATCTCTGGTCGAATAGTTTTCCACTTTCGTTTTAGTACATCGGCTTTTCATTAACGAGGAACAATAATTTTTTACTTCAAATTTATTTTCTGTTTGCAGCTGGGAAGGGAAGTGTTATTGTTAGGATTTAAGTGCTAGATAAATGATACACCTTCCATGGTGTCGCGGATGACTCTCAGAGTCTGACCAACAATTAACAACCAAAGACATGTGCTTGACTGTTAAGTGCGTTTACTTTTTAGTCATTATGATTTAACTATTCCCCTACCCCTAGTCATAGACATCAGACATGGGCATACCAGGGCAGGTAGGGGGCAATAGCAACCCCCCTGACTATTGGCAGACAAGGCTAAGACGATGTAGTCTCTCCCTGTCTCCATTATGGACGACATGATGTTTGGTGTCTGGTCTTTTCAGTCTGTTAAAAGTAGCTGGTATGGCCATGGTCTTGGACTATTGGACATTGGAAAAGCATTCAAGTGCCATATGATTTTGTCAATTTATCTCACAAATATTTAATAATTTTCTAGCTCTTTGCTATTATTGTGTTTGGCTGCATTTCTGACAAAGGAAAGGCAAAATTGTTTTGGTATAGTGATAAGGAATGTGTGTACGACGGCGACAGTAGTGCTTGTAATTATGGAATAGCAATTGGTGTTATTGCATTCATTGCCTGTCTAATATTCCTTGCACTTGATTATTTCATGGATGCTATTACAAACATGGAAGTAAAGAAGTACATTTACTTGGGAGACTTGCTCTTTTCTGGTCTCTGGGCGTTCCTGTGGTTTGTAGGCTTTTGTTATCTTACTGACAAGTGGAGAAAGCAAAATGACAAGGGCGAGTTCCCATCACATGTGAAAAATAATGCTCAGGCAGCGATTGCTTTTAGCTTTTTCTCAATTTTATCTTGGGTAAGCATGACCTAATATTAATAGTGTATAATTATATTATTCTATTTTTAACCAATTTATGACTGGCAACGAATACTTTAATGAAACACCAAGAAATAGACCATCCGTAAATGGTAAATATTTTCATTCTATACGTATCAACAAGTATTACTTTCTATTGATGGTGACATGCAATACTTGTTGGAGCTTAGGGATGGAACGTGTGTATCATTTACAGTATCTTCGCGTTTTCTTGAATCAACAACTTTAGCAAAGTTTATTTTCATAGTGATAACAATAAATACAGATGTAACACTATAATTTCAGGGTTTTCAAACATTTTTGGCATTCAGAAGAGTTCACGATGGTGGCAACAACTTTGAGTTTGGAGGACACAGTCGACAACCATATGAAAATTCACCATACTCTTCATTCCCAGATCAACCCAACGATGACGATAATTATCAAGGGAAACCATTTGAACAATCTGGTGATCAATCTGGGGAATATAGACCACCCACTTACTGATTTGTAACCTCTGCCACAACTATTGCAATCGACTTTATTTAACATTAGTATTTCTCTAAAAAACATACACATTTGTATGAAGTGTACGGTCAAAGCTCGCCATAAGTCTTTCACTTTTAAGGGTTGAAAGTGTTTAAATTAAAGTAATCATTGGAAATAGTTGAATTTACTGTTCCTTCATAATATACATTCAAATGACGACATTTAAAGTGATCTGTGTGCTGGGTTCATTTAATAAATAAATGAATAAACCGATAAACGAATTGTTCATTATATTGTCTGTGTCATTGCTAGCTTGGTAATTAAGGGAAGAGAATATTCATAATGCACACTTTTCCAAGTTAAGTCCTTTTGAAATCAATTGCTATTTATTGATTACATGCATCTATAAATATTAAACCCACCACAGAATAGATACATCTTTACGAAAGGTCTACTCGTGTCGGAACCTTCCGCTAGATCGTATCTTAGCACTAAAAAAGCTTGGAACCTCATCTTCTTCACAAGATGATAATTATTTGTAAAAATTTCGGCAAACTTTTGCTTTAAACGTGAATTATAAGTAAAACAACATTCTCCTATAATACAACTCCATATTGATTTTGTGAAATTATCTTGCTGGGAAATCACGCATGCGTAGTGAAAAAATATGCCACGATTTTAGCCCTTTTAGCCGAGTGGTCCTTCTGTTAGATGTTTATTCTGTGCCTCCACCCACTATTATCAATTTAGCTGCCAATGATTCTATAAAAATGTGGTATTTTCTTATGGGCAATGAAAAATACTCTACCAAAATGATTTTTAGATAAATTTTATTGAATTTATTGAAACACCTAAATTTGTCTTTTTACAAGTGTATAACAATCTTTTTGGAAAGAGCGAGAACATCTAGGTAAAATAGATGACTTCTGGCTTATCTTACAAATTTGAATATTTTTTGTTAAATTAAAAAACATACATAACTAAGTTTACAGCATACAAGTATATGTACAAATTTATAATTATAGAATTTAAGGATAATTGACTGCCATATTTTCGGATGCAGCTCTTCTACTTGATGCATAAATTGGCCTGAAATGTGCATTTGTTTTCCCATTGCTTTCCACACTTCCCGATGAATGTCGTCTATGATTAACATCAATCAAAGGTCGCCGATGAACATTTGAAGGTGAGCAAGTTGAGTTAAAAGGCACGTGGTCGCCACTAGATGCAACATTATTGTGTCCAACAGATAAAGTTTCATTATTTGACACATTTGATTGGTTCACAAGTAAAGTTTCATTATTTGACAAATTTGATTGGTTCACGACAACTTGAAACCAACTGGGTGTTAAGAAGCTTGGTGTAGAACGCTCTATATCATCTACACCTAATTGGTCTGGAGTGCTACAAGTTTTAAGAGCCTTGTTTTTAGAAAACACATCCTCGTCTTCATCTGACTCTGTATCGTTCCATACCATCACTTGATCATCATCGCTGACCATAAGTTCACCCATATCCTCCTCATCACCATCGTAGCCACTTGACGCTATACTGCAGCTGGTCAAATTCAACGCAGTCTCATCCGATATGTGGTCGGCAGTCTCGTCGAAAAAGCGAACGCGCATAATTAAATCTTTTAGGTCCTCGCTCGGCGGTAACTGTAAAATATCACAGATAACATTCAAAAATGTCTAATGCATCCAAACAAATGAAATTTTCGAAAACACTACGATCTTTCAGCCTTCCCTCCAATGATTCGTAGCCAGGAGCAGCGAAAGATTGATAATTGAGAGGTTAATATTCATTTATACATGTTGTACTTTACAAAATATGTTTACCGTGCTTGCAAAGATTTATGCAAAGTAAAAAAACCTTCGGGAGAAAGAGTCTCTGCTTTGCACTGATCTGCTTCTCGAGTTCTCAAAGGTCCAACTCGAAACACGGTAAACATCTTTCATTTCTTAATTGAAATTATTTGTGATTAAATGAATATGCGCATCAAGATTATCAATCTTCCGCGGTCCCTGTAAAAAACACGGTGAAAAATTGCATTTAAAATCAAGCACCTTCAATTTGCTAACTTCGGAAAACTTCTCCGATTCATATCTATAAGGTAAAATAAGAAGATGGAAACAATGATCAATGATCTTCAAAGAGTCCTAGGGGCTGTTTACATGAGCCCGCTAGCTGGGATTCAGCGAAGCGCTAAATCATTTTGGCAAAGATTAAATGCTTTACAACAAAAAACTTATTTGGGCAATTTCTCTATGCTCTGACTTTGTAAATTTACAAAACCTTTACAATGAATACAAATAATTTAGCCTGATTCGAAAATTACACTTAAAATGACTTATGACGCTTAAGAAAAGGTTGTAAGTTTTGCGCTTGAAGTTTATGCTCCTTTCAATTACTCAAAATCATTTCACGCCTCGCTGAATCTCGGTTACCGCGGGCTCATGTGAACATCCCTTTACATTTTTGTAAATATTTAGTGATAAAGTAGCAAATGGCATCACAACGATCTTTATATCATGTCGAAAAGATCAATTTATCCAACCTTTCTTTGACGGCTTTCAGTCGACCATTTTGTTTGTCCGTAGGGCAATCTTGTGTTAAGCTGAAATGGTACATAATAAGATGACAAATGAAGGCAAAGAGTGTTAAAAATTTAATATGGAAACTCAGAGTATAGACATTAAAATCTAATCCCTCTTTTTTGATAGAGTGGTTACGTAGTCGTCTGTAATAACTATGATTGTTATCAATAACCATAAAAACTACTACCTCTCAACAAATAATTGCATTAAAAACACTGGCCATTTTCACAATTCCCTGTTTAAAAAATATTTTAGGGCAACCTCCTCAAAATACCATAACGTGTATATCAAAGAACTGCATGATTCCGCAGTAATTGAAGGCGTATGTAGACGTAAAAGAAAGGTGCTTCATGCTTGGAATTTGCAATAGCTACAATTCGCATGCTGTGAGAATGAAGTTTTTTCAAGAGTACAAACATACACGAATGCTAAATGACAGTGGCTGCCATGCAAGTCAAAGGATTGCAGCTTATTCTACTCTCTCTATGCTTCCAAAGTTAAAAACCTACCAAGAGTCTATAAGGAAACTCATACATCCCAAAACAGTACTTTTCTCGAAAGGAACATAAGTTTCCCAAGTTGGGGACCAAAATGTCTCTACGATACAAAAAAAGATTGTTATTCAAGACATAAAAACACAGTGCAATGTATAAAATGAAACGTAAACAACAAATAATATCTATAAGCATGACTCTTACCAGGATAGTATATCAATTGAGCTAAAAACGTACAACAAAAACCAACATGTGCACACGAATATCTACACAAAAACAGCACGTTATTGCAGTAATAAAGTACATGGTTTAAATGGTCTTTACATGTTTGTAAATGTTTATCGTCAAGGCTAGTGGAGTCCTAAGAAGGAATGTTGGTGTTGACTGACATTTCGACATCCTTAGCGATAGTCATCTTCAGAAGCAACACTTCAAGAGCTTTGACTCGCTGAGGATGTTAACACTAACACCAACCGTCCTTCTCAAGACGGCACTGACCTAAACAATCAACATTTGCAAGCATGCAACACGCTTTCACAACTAACATCAAGCAAGTGATGTTACAATGCAGGGGCTCTGGTTCCTATGCAGAGTGAAAAAAAAAATTATGTTGAAGTTGATCGTCTAGATAAGAGAACATCGAAGGACAGTTGACAATGATTGCAATGAATGATCACATGACTACCGCTAAGAGAGATCGTTAAGTCAGTCAATTTCAACCATCACCGAACAGTTTTTCTCAGGATTTTATTAACCTGGACAATCAACTTCCACAAGCTTTAAACGATGCACTGACTCAGGCATCTATTTACTTTAAAAACATTTTTAAAACATTTCTACGGAGCTCTACAGCACGTTGTGCATGTACTGGACCATTCGTTATTGACATGAAAAATCTTGCAGTAGAACGGAATTTTTACAACATATCACAGTGTAGGAATATACAGAAGGGCCACTTCACTGTGCAACTGGCTGCTGTATATCTAATTAGTTTACTGGCTGCTGTTTGCCATATCGTCAATCCTGTTGGTCACACAATGCAATTTACTGGCTGCCAATATGGTAATCACATGCGCAATAAGATATGCGTGGCACGAAAAAATTCAATGGAGTGGCTCTACTGTATGTTATTTATACTGTGACATTATGCCGCTTTTCTGAACGGCTTTAGCTACAATATAGATAAAAAAAATTTTCTTGACAATATCGACCATTGCATCATGCAATAAGTTGAACGAATAAAGCGTTTTCTTACTTGTACCTGCTCGCAGTGACTCGCAATAAAGACAAATCTGCGATGTAATTTGCTAAATACTCCACTTTGTGCTCCACCTGCAGCATACGACAGATTAAAGTAACTTTTTTGAAAAAAATATGAACATTGAAGTGCTAGTTATGCAGGAATGGATAGTTAAAAGAAAAATAACTTTTGTACGTCACAGAGTGTTGTGAATGGAAAGTATCAGTCAAACGAGGAATTTTTTTAAAATAGAAAGGGTATTGTTGAAAAGACAAATAGTATTGTAAAAAATAGAAAGAATACTGTAAAAACATAAAGACTATTGTAAAAAATAGAAAGAATCTTGTAAAAACTTAAAGACTATTGTAAAATGTAGAAAGACTATTGTAAAAAAGACAAAGACTATTGTAAAAAAGAGAAAGACTATTGTAAAAAAGACAAAGACTATTGTAAAAAAGAGAAAGACTATTGTAAAAAAGACAAAGACTATTGTAAAAAAGAGAAAGACTATTGTAAAAAAGAGAAAGACTATTGTATAAAAGACAAAGACTATTGTAAAAAAGAGAAAGACAATTGTACACTAAAAACGACATGCGGTACCTTCATAAGTTTGCAGCAAAGTCTCACGTAGTTTGGAATTGTCAGCACCTACGCAAATGAGGAAATCTAAATACCACAACTCTCAAAATTCAAATTTTAAGCTAAATATTTTTCAATCACCGATGTTGCGAGGCATAAGTTTGCACATTGCTCGTTGGAGAAACTTTTAAACTGCCCAAAATCCCTTTCATCTCATCCTTAAGCTGGCAATTAATGGCCTTGATTATGTTAATTGAGCATGAATATTATCCCAACATGAACTACGAAATGCTACACACACAGCCCTGAGCGCCTTAACCACAAATAAAACTAGTAAGCTTTACAACGCAAGTTACATAAAGTATAGATGTATGCATATGAAACTCAGCCGGTAAGACGAAGTCATCGCCAGTCTTCCAGAGTGGGCAATGCACGTTTATCTAGCACCGGTAACTTCCAAGATGACATCATGGAAAATGCTGATGTTCTTGGATTGGTCGATGCAAATATTGCTCAGAATCCATCTTTTCGACGGTAAACACACGTGTCAAAAATACGAGATTAAATTACAAAATTCGGACAATCAAATGGTCGGACATAGAATTGTATATGTAGAATAATGGCAACAAAATAGAAAGAAGAAAGCTCTTGAGGCAATTGTACATCTTATTTTAGAAATACAGAAAGACTAATTATAAAGGCAAAAGGTGTAATAGTAATTAAAAACAATTTTCCGTCAAATCAAAGGAAAGTTGAACATGACATGCAATATGCAGATACAAAGTTAGAAAGAAAAATAAAAACATTTCTAACGTTGTCACAGATACTAAGAGTACCGTAAAAGTGTTGATGAGTTTCATATGCATTTTCCAAAACAAGCTTAAGTCAAAGAACAATTTCAGAGCTCACTACGTCACAAATTGATTGAGAATAAATCCCAGCATGCGTAGTCAACTCCACTAACTCTCCAAGTTCATGGTCATGGCAAAGACATACTGCATGCACTAGAACCGATTATGGAATAATTAGCTCGCTCTGTCACAAATTTTCAGAGAAATTATTGGCGCATGCGCAGTCTGCTTGAGCATGCGCAGTCAGCTTGACCTGCTGCTCAAGTTCATGGTCATGGCAACGACCAACTACATCTACTAGCACTGATTTCGAAGTAAATAGCATGCTTAGTAACAATTTAATAGAGAAATCATCTGCGCATGCGCTTGAGCATGCGCAGTCCACTTGACTAATTGTTAATAGTCAAGGCAACGACTAACTAGACCCACTAACTAGATGCACTACTTTCGCGGCAATTACCACGCTTAGTTGCAAATTATTAAAGAAATCATACGACTTAATTAATACCACAACTTTCGTAAGCCTCTGAATTTTTTGTATATATATATATAAAGCCAATACTAGGTATAGTAGATGTCAACTAGCAGTGGAAGCTGGGTGCGATTAGGTATGTAGTGGCTTAGGGGCCTAGACTTCGGTCGCGACCGCACTCTCCCTGCTTACCTGAGCAAAACCTATCGCAGGTGATCTCAGGGTCTGATGGGCGGAAGCTTGCTTTGGCATCTCCCAAGTAGGATACCGTGGAGGGGCCGAAATCTCCTACCGAAACGTTAACATGCGGCGTTCTAGTGCCTTACACTTAAGAGGGTATCGGGAACAATGGACAAAAAATGGAGTTTTTTGCTTTTCAATTTTATCTTTTTGTTTAAAAAATAAACCAATGTTAATAAAATAAACCAAGCAATGTTTCAAGTAACTTCTTCTTACACTGGGCTTTTTTCTCACAATTATAATTTATGACAACTTAAACATATTCCATACAACTTTTATTGGTTTATATCTTTCTGATTTAACTCTCTCATTTACTGTTTCTCATATATCAAGAGCAAACCATCCACGGGCTTTATGGCAAACAAGGATTATCTCGTTCCCTTAATTAACATGCTACGCTCTAGTGCTCAACTATCTTAGGGTATCGCAAGCATGAACAGTAAACGGAAATTTTTGTTTTCAAAATTTGTCTTAATTTGTCGCGGCATCGGATACGTGTGGACGTTACGCCAGTATCCGTAACGAAAACGTTACGTTTTCAAAGTAGAAACGTATACACGTGCATGGAGCCTAAACATGTTTATACGTTTTTTACTTATTACCTTTCACAATGTCATAACTCTCTCGTGATGAACGAGAGCCTCCTTATACAATGTAACTCTCTCATGATCAACGAAAGCACCCATGGGCTTCATCCAAAAAAAGGGATTTATTTAATTAAAATAAAAGGGATTTATATAATATTAGTTTTTGCAAAAATAATATTTAATAAGCCAAGCCATTTGTATGGTCTAAATTGAACCCTTATGTCATAAAATTTTAATTCATTTTGGATAGTAACAAAAAAAGTCGTTAGCGCGACAGCATGCCTGTATTCAAGCTTTCCTTCGATCGTTGTGCTTTTTCTAACGTAAAATGTTTAATTTTTACTGCTATGTCTTCTGCTTTTATCAATCGTTCTGAATAACTAGAATCAGATCCACAAATGCCCCAAAACTCAAAAGCATCTCCTAACCATTTTATTGCCACTATTCTACATAAACAATACTATGTCCAACCATTTTATTGTCCGAATTTTGTAATTTGATGTCGTATTTTTTACATGTGTGTCTACCGTCGGAAAGGTGTATTAGAACTTCATTGATAAAAAGTCAAGATTGTAAAATCTTACGTGAAACATACCTGAGTTTCTCCTTTAAGACAACTCATTATTTCGCCTATCATTCTAACGATGAAAGAAAATACCGAAAATTATTAAAAGTATATAGCAACATTATGAATGGCTGGGAGTAAAAAACTTTCGGACGGAAGATTAGAAGTCTGATATGACGCGGTAACATATACTAAGTAGACACCAAAATCTAATCTAAAATAGATAATCCGGCTTACAAAGTGATCTCGGATCCATCGGGAGAATTGTAAAGTAAAACTAGGTAAGAGTGTACTTTACAAATGAATTAAAAATACGTAAAAGCAACCCAGAGCAGCACTTTGCTAGCACTGCACAGAAAATCCACACTCTTCTACCAAATTAAGATAGATGCACAAGATGAAAAATCTCAAACACTGGGGCAAGTTGGATAGCGTTATCCGTGGAAATAAGCAACATTTTACTTCAGTTATTGTTAAGTCCAAACCTTATAATTCCCTTTTTAAGAAGTTTTTTAACCGTTTAAAAAAATTTTCTATCCAATGGATAACACTATCCACACTTCCTGCAAACGGCCCAGGTTTTTATGAAAGATTTCAAGCTTGAAAAATGTCATCAAAATCATGTTTTCGGATTAAATAAGGCAATTAAGTACTCGTCACTTGTACCATGAAAAACAACCGTTGCTATGGTGAAATGGCGATAAGTTTTCATTTCAATACGAAATGATAATTCTCTTGATGATGGACGATTTACCTTACAACTTGTTCGTATGAATATGTGTTGTCTGTCAGCCACGATGACTCTCGAATTGTTACAATATTTTTCTCGTAGAATCTGAAATTGTTGAAAATATTCAACCAGTGGTACAGTGTTTTTCAAAGTAAAAAGCTCGTTCTGTTGTTTACAGCTCAAAACAACAATAGGGAGCTTTAGCAAAAGTACGACTACGACAACGAGAACGAAGTTTGACCGTGTAAGAGAATGGCACGAGGAAGTTTGTTGTCGTTATCACTTCGTCAAAATTTTGCTTTAATTGTAAACAACAGAACGAGCTTTTTTATTGTGTGAAACACCGAAGTTTGCGAAGCAGCTACGGCTCTATTTGTCAATAATGATATCAACGAATCGGTAATACTGATTTTGCGAGAATGTAGGACTCTTTAGACTGAAAAATCTTCCCTATTTTAAGTTGCTTTTTACGATATATTTGTACTATTTTATTGTTTGTTTACATTTCACTTTGCGTACGAAATACATGAAAGTTTTGCAGGTCATATTTTCCTTTTTAATGTACATCTGCGCTCAAAAAAGATTCTAAATTAAAGCCTGGATACTCGAAAATAGTACTGTAAACTAATTTCTTACACAATGAAGAAATATACCTACTTTCTTTGCTTAAAAAGACATCGTAGTCGCGACTACGAATTTTTTACAAAACATCGTATTCAGATTGATGACGGCTACGTGTTTTTGTTGTCGCAACAATGTTTTCGCGCCAAAATGACGTAAATCGTACTCGTAGTCTTTGCTAAAGCTCCCTGATTTGACGACGCGACAACGATTACGAACTTCCTCGTGCCATTCCCTTGCACGGTCAAACTTCGTACTCGTTGTCGTACTCTTTCTAAAGCTCGCTAATGTTACGTACCTTGAAGCAATAAGCAGACATCCAATTCCTAACAATTGTAGTTCACCACGATTGCTTTTTCTCCGTAACAAATACAAGTCCACGTAGGAAACAGCGGCATGCAGAACATGACTAGTGAAATTCTACATACAGAATATCAATGATGGAAGATCTCACAAAAAAAATTCTGAGGGGAGAGGGTAGGTGGGAAATTTTCGCGCGCAAAATGTATTTGGGAAAATGAATGTGGACGAGAAATAACAATATCATGAAACAAGCGTTTGATGAGTTTTTCAAAACTTCAAATATTTCATAAGAAACAATTTCACATCAAGGTAAAAATGAATCTTGTTTACATTACAAAGCTATCGGAAGGAATTACTTTGGCGAAATGTTGATCCTAGAAAACCTTTACTTCGAAAAAGATTTGCACGTAAATAAAGGCCCTAAATAAATCAAAGGGAAAATGAAACACAACAACAATCTTACCTTCATAGTACAAACTTCCACTAGCCAGTCAACAAGAATATACCTGTATAAACAATACAAATATTTGTTACAGTCAAATGACAACCCATTGAGCTACAGCGCATGCTCAGAGAAACGCTCATTACCTCATCGGCCGTGTGACCTCATTTTGATATTTAAAAATACCACGACGTCTACAGGGCAGAGAGGATGCCATGAACTAGAAATTAATTAACATAAACCAATATATTTAAGATGAATACAAACGATTGCTAAGTGAACTTTCTCTTCAAAATAAAACTATACTTCACCCCCCGTCAATAAAACAACAGTTCAGTACATCTTCCTTCAAAATAAAGCAATAGTTCAACCCCGCCATAAAAGCAATACTTCAACCCCTCTGACAAAAAACCCCAAACCACTACCTCCCATGCACAAAAAAACAACAACACTACCCTTCTAACAATTTTCCCAGATTCAAATCTCATCTTAAATCATTGTCAATATTCAAACGCTGTGAATTGTGATACCAACAAACCTCTTTCACATAATTAACAGCAGTAACTTTATCGATGTTTCCAACGTTCCCTGTGGCGTAATGAAGGGCAAGTTCAAGTTGGGCATCTTTGTTATGTTGCACACAACCACGAAGATTTCGTAGCTGATGTAGTTTCACCGCGGGCTCAAGATCGGTCTCGCGATCCATCTTCCATAGTTCAAACTTCGCCAAGGTACTGCCTTTTAAAGCCGCTTTCTCCAGCCACATTCTTGCATAATCTTTACAATTTTCATCGTCGTCTACTTTCTTTAAAGAAAGGAAATGTTTGAAACACAACATTCCTATATTGATATATCTTCTGGAGGTGGTGCATGGATACAGCAGTATACATGAGTACCAGTAAGGATGTGGAAACTTCAGTCAACACCAACAACCCTTTTCAAGACTACACTAACTTGGACTATCTATATCCTCAAACATGAAACGATAATCCCCGAGTTTAAACTATTCACTTCATTTGTTTCACTACACAAGACACAACTCCCATTTCACTTGACGTTCCAAGCGCTCAGAACGTTACCGTGAATCGCCTTGCTATAGTGCTTATGGAAAAATCCTCATATGATACAGTATATTGCATTTGACATCCGCCAGCATAAAATTTTAGTTACACAATGCTCCAAAAGCAAGCACTTTTTCTCCATACATACACTGAGTCTAAAGACATGCAGTGATTTCATTTTCTATGTTTGTAAATGTAGATCGTCCAGGTTAATAAAGTCCTGAGAAGGACTGTTTTTGTTGTTGTTGACTGACGTTTCGACAACCTTAGCAGTAGTCATCTTCAGAGTCAAATGATGACTACCGCTAAGGTTGTCGAAACGTCAGTCAACAACAACAAAAAAAGTCCTTCTCAGGACTTTATTAACCTGGACGATCATCATTTACAAACATATAACGATACTCCCGGGTTCAAACCATTTACTTTATGATTTCATTTTCGATAAGAAATATACAATATATCCCTGACAATCATTAAACAGAATACATAAAACAGATTTACACTTCTCTCGGGTATGCAAGAATGATATGGTAGATTATTGTCTGTCGAGTGGTCGCTCTTTTAGCCCTGTGATGCCAATAAATAGTTTTCCCTAATCTAGTTTCGATAAATATTGCGATGTTTTCAAATTAAATTAAATTGCCATGTACGTAGGGAGTCATTATTGGTGATAATATGACGTGGGTGCCATCATTACATTTTGCTCAGTATAATAAAATTGTTGATCTTAACAGACTACTTAAAGATCTTGCTTACCTCAACCAGACTTATAATTTTCCCAAGTGAATAAAGCAAAGAGGAAGAAGCATCCTAGATGATAAAAAATCAGCTAAGAATAAAATAAATTAATATCCAGTATGTACGTATGAACAGTAGAGAAGTCAGACGGCACGTTTTACTCTGTCTATGGAAGTTTCAGTGCAACGCAATTAGTTTCTTGGCGATTTATTGCTTTCACAGTAAGTGAACGCTGAAAAATTAGCAAAACAGGACTAAACTTGCAGGCTGACTACGCAGTGCGTATCAAAGAAGGAAATTTTATCACAGAAAAACAGAGTTTCAAAGTTTTGAATTTGTTGATACAGTACTGCTCAGAAGTAACTTAACACTGCATTCTAGTTCCATTTGCGTTCTTCATGATTACAGATCAATAATCGGATGCGGCCAACAACGCGTTTTGAAACGCGTTCCATCTTCAGCCGAACGCAATTCGAACGCATTTGGAACGAGTTCGGAAGAAATCGTTTTCGGTAAACTTACTTCTGACAGCACAAAATTAGCTATATTTATGTATGCATATGACATCAACCACAAACAAAACTAATAAGCTTTACAACGCAAGTTACATAAAGTTTAGATGTTTGCATATGAAACTCAGCCGGTAAAACGAAGTCATCGCCTGTCTTCCAGAGTGGGCAATGCACGTTTATCTAGCACCGGTTACTTCCAAGATGACATCATGGAAAATGTTAAAGTTCTTGGATTGGTCGATGCGAATTTATAGTTTTTCATTGCAGCATTCAGCAAGTAATCATAATATTCAGACTGAGTTCATTTGAAAGTGAATAGGCTTTAAAAAAAATTAGTTAGCTTACAACGTTCTAGCTATGGCTATGTGTCCCATTCTCAATATGACATAGCTTATATAAGTATACGGAGAACAAGTACATTGATTTCTTATGTACCATCCTCACTATGACATAAGTATAAGGAGATCAAGTACATTGATTTCTTATGTACCATCCTCACTATGACATAAATATAAGGAGATCAACTACATTGATTACTTATGTACCATCCTCACTATGACATAAATATAAGTAGATCAAGTACATTGATTTCTTATGTACCATCCTTACTATGACATAAGTATAAGGAGATCAAGTACATTGATTTCTTATGTACCATCCTCACTATGACATAAATATAAGGAGATCAAGTACATTGATTTCTTATGTACCATCCTCACTATGACATAAGTATAAGGAGATCAAGTACATTGATTTCTTATGCACCATCTTCACTATGACATAAGTATAAGGAGATCAAGTACATTGATTCCTTAAGTACCATCCTCACTATGACATAAGTATAAGGAGATCAAGTACATTGATTTCTTATGTACCATCCTCACTATGACATAAGTATAAGGAGATAAAGTACATTGATTTCTTATGTACCATCTTCACTATGACATAAGTATAAGGAGATAAAGTACATTGATTTCTTATGTACCATCTTCACTATGACATAAGTATAAGGAGATCAAGTACAACGAATTCTTATGAACCATCCTCGTAATTCAAATGCCACCACCGTCACATCCAACAATAGTATGAATACTAACTTATATTACCTGATTTTCTTCGCAGAATTTCCTGATACCATTGAAGACATGTCTTTTACAACACATGATGCCAGGAGCCCAAGGAGGGCGAATAAACGACCAAATAAACGCGACAGTCGGAGGTGTTATGCTTTCTGCCTGACAGAAATACTGAGTGGCATTTTTTGCGTTGTGGGCGTTTGCTGATGAAGAGATTTTCTTTGAAGAATTTTCTGAAACTGGATGTATTACAAATTAAAAGCAGACTGATTTGAGAAATACGTCAACTTAAGAAAATAGCCAGACAGATACAGGGCGGCCAGAGAGGAGACATTTTGCTAAGGGTCCCAATCCAAAACGTCCTTATTCAAGAAAAAGACAACAATTAAGACAATCGTTGTGTTTGTCCTTTTAAGATACCTTTATTTTGTTTGAAATTAAAGCTTGTTCATGAAATTTAAGATCTTTTTAAAACAAGTCTCGATGTTTGCAATTGTGTAAAACGATGATATCATAGTGACTTTGGGAGAAACGTTTGTCGAAAGCCCCGGGGTTTATCTTCCGCGACCCGGACTAAAACCGACTACCGAAAACGAAAAACGTTGTGTCTCACGACGTGCTAAAAATATTTCTCTTTTAGTCGAAATATTTCTTTCTTCACTAAGGACGCACTCTGGGAACGACAGGGTTTAGCTAATCTAACAGGAGGGGTGTAGATTTTTCCAGAGAGTGCAATACTAAGATAGTACACTGTTGTCCATAGTAGTAGGTACATTGAAGTTAGAGGTCAACTAAACTCTTACAGTCTTATTGACTATTAATTCTTACAAGGAGAGTCGAGCTGGGGGCCAGGCCACAGTATAGGAAACATACAGAAGTGCCACTTCACTGTGCAACTGGTTGCTGTATATTTTATTAGTTTACTGGCTGCCGTAAGTCATTTCATCATTCCTAATGGTCAAAAAAAGCATTTGACTGGCTGCCAATATGGTAATCACATGTGTATTAAGATATGCGTGGCAAAAAAAATTCAATGGAGTGGCTCTACTGTATGTTCTCTATACTGTGGCAAGGCTGGTAGGAAACAAATCTACATTTCTTTTGTATTTTACAAATTTGACCCAAGATCGCCCTACGAACATCCAAGTTCTGCAGCTTTGGCAGTTGATTGCCCCTCAATGAAAAATCTGTTCTGCAGTCCCTGTTATATTGCACAATTTTCTCCCATATATCAATGTTAAAATAATAGTCTTCCTCTACATAACAAGTGATACAACTAAATTAACATTCGTCAAATTAGCCAGCAATGACAGATCAATCCTCTAGTGACTCACACTGTGACTACAATGTGTCACAATCAGGATCAGGAAGCTGTGTAAAGTCCATTTATAAAAACTCATGTCTTAAAGGGTTGACTCGTAAATTATTTTTCTGATTATATTTGATTAATTAGCACATCTTGAAATATTTCATTATCTTAGCAATATGCATCTCTGTAACAACATATAAAGAAAAAACCGAAAGGTTTCTTCAACAAAACCCCTCTAACTTTGAATCAAAGTTCTCCTAGCAATTTTTGAGCAAAACCATTTATAATATAATTGCCTTCAATTTAAATAACACTTTTTTACTAAATGTTAGCCAACTTTATCAAATCAGAAATTACATACCTCCTTCATTGTAAAGATAACTTAAGCCCAATTTGATAACTGCTTCAATGTTTCCTACAGATGACCCTCTGTTTAAAATGTGTGCAAAGAAAAACTGTTTGAAATCAATTCATTAGACAGAAAAATAAAATATGTATAAAATGTGATTGGTTAAAGATGTAATGTAAAGCAATTGTTCACTAAGTAAGAAAATTGTTTTTGAGCACATATTTTCAGCCAACAGACTGTGGTATTCTTGAGGAACAAGACTTAGGTAAATAACATGTAAGTTAATACATAACATTGCTATTTATCATGATGAAAGACTACTTGAACAGCTCAAAATAACCAAAAAACACTTGTTGACTGACCATCTTTTTAGCAAGGAAAGACATGCATGGTAATTAGTTAGGAGTAAAAAAACAAAAAACTGCAATCTTACGTTATTTAGTGCAAGTTTTGTGTATGACAGAGGTAAATACAAGTTGTCCAGCCAGCTTAGCTAGACTGCTATTTTGAGTCCTGTTCACACTTAGAATGATGTTATTTACTCATGCTAATCCTGTGAGGCAAAGCTGATTTTGACAGGGTAGGTAAAAATAATCAATACACATTAAAAAACCTAAATACTTTTGTAAGGCAAACACGAAGTTCTCATGTTCATTCTTGATAATAAAACTTACTTCAAAAAAACTGAAAAATTCTTTGGTGACGGCCAAATTCCAGCAAATGAAGTGTGAATGAATAAGCTTTGTGTATTCATGATAAGTTGGTTAAAGCGTCTGCACACCTAGGGATAAAATGGTACACAAATATACATCACTTACAACAATAAGCCTGAACATCAATGATTGAACAGTTATTTTCGTAAAATTTAGAGCCCATAGTTCCAAAATCATTGAACATTATAAAGCAGAACAGAAAATTTGACCAAAGAACTTCCCATCCCTCGCAAAATTTATAGGCAAAAGGTCAATTGAGAGATATTATCTTACTACTATCATTGAACTTAGCTGGACAAAAGTCAGATCAGTGATCACCATTTAATGGTGCTGGTTTCACCCTATCCAGGGAGATCCTACATAAACCTCTGAAAATACAAGGATAAATGAGATAGAACAAGGTACTCACTCGACACATTTGGTACAGTTCTTGGACAGATAAATACTGCAACACAAGCAGTAATGTATCGTCAGGTAAGTGCACAAATGCTTTCCGATAGCATCGACGTACGCCAGCTTCAGGTTAAAGATATAAGAACAGTATAAGCAGGAAAAAATAACGTTCGAAACAATATAGGTATTTTTTAGGCATCAAGTTGCACTTACCGTAGCGTTTTACGAAAACCATTCTGCTATTCATTAAAGTAGAATATCAAACGACTAGAAAAGCCTATTTATAAAACTAATAATATGATCTGCATGAAATCAAGAAAGCTTTCAAAGGACAATTTCTGTTCACGACTAGTCGTACTTTATTTATCCAAAGATTTCATTTGATCGATCGTGGAAGTCGAACGAAAACCGTTAAAAGTTGTATACACGTGCCATAATCCAGCCACCTGATTGGCTAGAAGTTGACAAAAATGTGCGTGATCCTGGAGACGAGAGGAGACAATACAAGTATAATTTTATAAACGGTACGAAGAAAACAAAGATGGCTTTGCGTCCTAGACAACCAGTTGCGAAGGGAGGGTTAATGGCTCCTTCTAGACATCCAGTCAGCAAGGAAACACAAGATTTACTAAAAGGTAGTTTGCATTTTTCCCACAAAATATTTTGCCGTTGTTTTTTCTGCTCTAATTCCTGTAAAATTAACTTTTAAGTTATGATGCAAGAATCGAAGTTGACAAATTTTCAACGAAGACAATTAAACGAACGTTTACGAGGTAAAAGAGGTAGTCTTTGGGTAAACGTGAAAGTTTTTCATTGAAAATACACCGAAAACCCCAAACATACCGTGGAAATTGTACAATAACATAGATTTTTATTCATCAGTGTTTACAATCCGAGTTTATAGTGTAATGAAGTTTTACAGTGTTTCCACTTTAATAATTTTAGTCAGTTTTTGTTGAAAAGTATCCGAGAAACGACTTCAACTTTTTTGGGGGGAGGGGAGGTATTTGCATAGTTTGGATGTAATATAGGTATTAATCTAGCTACTGCCTTCCTCCTAACTTCTTCGCAAATTTTATTCTTTTACAAGGGCAGTCCTTGGGGAGGAAGCCCACTGGTGCGTCAAAGCTATGGTTGAGAAATGGATGAAACTAAAATGAACAAAGCAAAAATAAACTTTTATTAGTTTCATTTCTTAACTTTCTCACTCATTTATGTTATATTAAATTGATTATATTCATACTTAAAGTAATTCCTCGCAACTACTGCTGACCACTGCTGACTGAAGGCTAATTGATGTCTTATTCGGCAGAAAATATGCTTGAACGTGATTGGCTGTTTTTCGTGCACCATTACAGCCGTCAGCACAATAATTTTACTGGGGAAGAAAGAAATATTCATTGAAATTTTAATTTCATAGAAGGTGAATCTTTTCCTACGAATGTCAACCCAACGACTAGTGCTCGAAAAGAGCAAGCCAACGCATCGAAAACTGCAGGCACAACAAAAAATGTCAATCATAAATCGTTAAACGGAGGAAAAAGAACACAGGCAGAGATATTAAGAAGAAAAGAGTTCGATGATGACGAACCATATAGACCACTACCTGGAAGTATGTATTCATCACAAGAATCTTGCTAATTTGCTTGTTTAGTTCTACTCAGGAATCTTTTCTCAGTTCATCCATTGTGGAAACGGGAAATTTCTGAAGAAATGAATCTTAAATGATATTCCAATGAAATTATACAACAGGACCAAAGCGTAAACGACGTACACGTGATTCGAAGTTGGGAGTTTTTGAAAAATATTTTGGAAAAACAATTTTGCGTGTTTCATTATTGTTCATGAAATCTGAATCCCAAAAAGGTCACCCACGTGACCTACGGATTGAATTAAGATAGATTCGAATTAAGATAGATTTATTTTAAGATAGATTTGAACTATGTAAAACGTTTTAAGACATTTTTACACCATGAACAGTTTCGTTGCATGTCTTTTTGTGTTGGCTGTTTATTAACATAATATTTTTCAAAATAGACATATTTATCATACACCAATATTCTTCAGTAAACATGACCGAAAAGAATAACTAATTGACTGATAAATTTGTCATGAGTACATTTTTATAAAGTTTAAGTAATCGACCATTTTCTCTTGGGCCCTCCATCCCTTACGTCATTTAAGTGCGTCTATCTAAAATCACGCACGATGCTTTGGCGCAATGTTTACTTGAGAGCCTGGGAACAAGTCTAATCGACAGTTACTTTGTCGTTTGAACTTGTTTCATTTTCGCTATTTTTATAAATTTTTCTTTTCCTCAAGAATGTATCACGGAGAAAGACAAGAGAATTTTACAAAATAAGATGTCGTACGGTGACGAAGGAGCGGCATTGATCGAACAAACACCGCAACCTCAAAATATTTCCAGAGGAGGAAGACTGGAGCCGGAGATAGATCGATTTGACGAAGGTAGGACACTGAAACAAACATTTTAACTATAATTTGTAAAAAAATAATTCTACGCATTTTTTTCCATGTTCGTAGTTGTTGAATTGATCGAAGAACGAAAGCAATTTCTCGATGATATGGAAAAACTAGGACAAGGAAAAAAGTACCGAAGTTTGATAGCTGCAGAAATATCTAAGGTTGGGAAAATATATTTTCATTTATTTTTCGATGTTGTTTTGTTGAAATGTCATGTTTTAAAAGCTATGTTCAACTCGATGTCCATCTGTAGTAAATAGGGTTCATGTGAGTGCTTAAAGCCCTTGAGAAGTTCTTGAATTTAAAAATGAATTTTAAAATCACTTAAAAATCCTTAAAAAATTAGCATCGATGAAAGTGCTTGAAAACTGTTTGATGCTAAATTTTAAAACTTTTTCTATGCAACTGTATAAATTATAAGCATGAAAACCCCAATCCCAACTGAAGCACAAACGACCAATATGTCTTTAAATATAGTAACCATACTTAATATGTGGCTAAAAATGTTTGTCAGACGACAACATAACATAACGAATACCTAATACCCCGGTATTTGCTAATAGATCGCCTCTCTTGTTTAACACAGTGTAAATTATTATAATTCATCTATTGTAGGGAATACGGGAACTCGAGCTTATCGATAAGAAACGGACAGAAGAACTTAACCTGGCTTTAGAAAACGATACAAGCTCCACTAAGAAACGGACAGAAGAACTTAACCTGGCTTTAGAAAACGATACAAGCTCCAATACAACGTGATAATACTCTTTAGACAATACATTTAAATGAATTTATTAAAGAAATAAAAAGTCTGGCGTCTAAAGAAACTAGTTACTGCACAAATTTTATCACTGCGGAATTTAAATATATAATAAAATTTAGTTTCGTTCATTTACATGGAGTTTATAAAGGCCTGTTTTATACGTCGCATTTTATTGTGAAAGAAACTTATCAATGTATCAATAAATTTTAACGCTAAATACTTATTTTGGTGGCTCCTTTCGACGTCGTGAAAGATAACCTGACTGAAAACTAAATCCTAAGAGGAGAAGCGAACATAACAAGGCAGAAAGTCCATAAATGCTGTAACCAAAGACGCTCCCAGAGAAATATTCCATTAAATCATTTTTATTCTGGAAAATACGGTAACAATTGTAAGAAAATCTGTTATTGACTAACGTATTTCCTCATTTTAACCCCCCCTCCCTCCCAATAACCCTCCACAAGAAAGGTAGCAAAAAAGAAAATTGCCCACTCTCAATAAATAAAAAAATCGCCAGGAGGTCAACCTGAATATGAAATCCTAACTTGCTTTGTGTGAAAACTTCTATTTCGTTTTGCTAAAGTTTCCTGTTTTCTTTGAAAAATTTGTTTACTTTTTAGTAATGACCGGAAGTGACTTTTGCCATAAAATAATTACTTTAATTGATCTGTAAAGATGTTTACTGTGTTTGCACGGGCTTATGCAAAACGAGGAGACCTTTGGGAGAACTCGAGAGCAGATCAGTGCAAGCCCGAAACCGAAGGTAGAGTGTTGCACATGCTCAAGAGTTCTCACAAACGTCTCCGAGGTTTGAATAAACATTTATTATTTCTTTTATAAAACAACAATAATGTAAAACACACATATTTCAAAGAAACGTTTCAATTTTCCTCTAACATGTATTCATGATTGATTTGAAATTCTCTTTGACTGATTGATTGATTTGATTGGTTGAGCTCAGGCTAACGCAAACACGGCTATTGACCAATCATGGCACGCGTTTTATTGTGTTTATTTTATAATAAAACTACTTAAATGTATAAATTACTGTATCCATAAACAAAGACGAACCAACCTCCGCTAATCGTATGTACTTCGGAATAACGTCGTGTATATGTTTACGATTGTCTTCGGAATGACGCCGGAGACACTCGACAGCTTCTGGTACCCAGTCCTTTCCTAATAATGCTCCATACACGTAGCTACGTGGAATTATGCGAACAATTCGAAGATTCTTTTGAGTAATGAGTTGCGAATAGTAAGAGGCAACGTAAAAATCGATAAAACCAAGACGGACATTATTTTTACTGTTGTAAACAGCATCAATCACTGCAAGTTCGCTTGCTTCGACTGAAATACAATTGTGATTTAGTTTTTCATTGCAAATTTTGCACTTAGAAAAATCACACTTACCTTTTACATTGGTGTTATGAAGGATGGCAAATTTCTCTTCCTCAGTTTGATTAACAACAGATACCTGATCACAAAGACGGTAAATATCGAGGATTACAATAAGAAAACCTGTGAGGGACATAAATTCCTTATACGCACGACTTAAAATGGTTTATTTGTGAGCTCTGGTTCGCTCAGGAAAATATATTTGAACCAAAAAAGCAACAAAATCATGGCTAAAAAATTTTGGCCAATAATATTTGTTTTAAAAAATTTTATTCCGAACACCCAAATTGAAAACCCAAGAATGATTGGTTACAACAAAACACACATTTCTAGCGGTGATGTCATAAGCCTACTTTATAACTGACCCCAGGGATGTTTGATTAAAGCAAAACACATATTTCCAATTAAAACAAAACACATATTTCCAACTAAAACAAAACACATATTTCCAACTAAAACAAAACACATATTTCCAATTAAAACAAAACATATATTACCAACTAAAACAAAACACATATTTCCAACTAAAACAAACACATATTTCCAAACTAAGACAAAACACATATTTCCAACTAAAACAAAACACATATTTCCAACTAAAACAAAACACATATTTCCAACTAAAACAAAACACATATTTCCAACTAAAACAAAACACATATTTCCAACTAAAACAAAACACTTATTTCCAACTAAAACAAAACACATATTTCCAACTAAAACAAAACACATATTTCCAACTAAAACAAAACATATATTTCCAACTAAAACAAAACACATATTTCCAAACTAAAACAAAACACATATTTCCAACTAAAACAAAACACATATTTCCAACTAAAACGAAACACATATTTCCAACTAAAACAAAACATATATTTCCAACTAAAACAAAACACATATTTCCAACTAAAACAAGACACATATTTCCAACTAAAACAAAACACATATTTCCAACTAAAACAAAACACATATTTCCAACTAAAACAAGACACATATTTCCAACTAAAACAAAACACATATTTCCAACTAAAACAAAACATATATTTCCAAGGTACCGTGATGCCGTAAAAATGTTGAGTTCCTTCAAGTCTTGACGTGGTCAGGGAGGTTGTAACAACACCCATGTACATCGCAAGAATAACCAGTCCCGAAGTGATCCAAAGAATTGTGAACAGACGTCCTAAAAGGGTCTTTGGTGTTAGATCACCGTACCTATAAGAATATAAAGCTTGTGAAAGCTACTCAGTGTTTACATTACTCCAGTATATTGACATTCTACCAGTAGACATACTACTCAGTGTTTTAGATATACGAGTATACTGATAATTAGACATTTTCAGAAAATAGAAAAATGCTTTAATTTCGTAGTCAAGTTTCAAAACTGAATGGTTTCCGAAGTACTACTCAGTGTTTAAAATATACCAGTATACTGATTATATAACGTTTTTACGAAATAGAGAAATGCTCTAATCTCGTAGCCCAGTTTTACAACTGAATGGTTTCCGACTGAAAGTATCAAGCACAATGCATGTGTCTGGTACAAATTTTCATATAACCTTGAAATCAGTCAGTCAACGAAAATTGCTTGATTTATATCACAAATGGTTATGTAGGCATATCTACTCGAAAGAGTGTGGGTAGAGAAAAAATCGCAGTCGCTTTAAAATATGTCATATTTGGTTTGGTATACTTAGGTATAATATACTATAATACTATATATATACATGTTTGTAAATGTAGATCGTCCAGGTTGGTATAGTCCTGAGAAGGACTGTTATTGTTGTTGTTGACTGACGTTTCGACAACCTTAACGGTAGTCATCTTCAGAGTCAAAAGATCTACATGTAACGATACTCCCGAGTTCAAACCATTTACTTTACTATATATATACCTCCAAAATACTATGGTACTTTTACTATGCAAACTCACCCTACTGTAGTCATAGTAACGACCGCCCACCAGAAACCATTTAGAACACCATTTGGACAAAACGGGTCGAACATTTGGGGATTAGAACGATGTTCCTGAATGAAAAACAACACAGTACTCCATATTCTTCAACAATACACAATACTATATATGAATATCATCAAAGGGAAAATTTATTTGGGGAAAAACATAACAAATTTAATGTATTCGTACATTCTCATAATTAGTATTTATGATTAATATATTCATGATCAACAATCATCAAAAAAATGTATGCCAAATAGGTGAATAAGCTGTTAATTGAATTTAACCGTTAGCATTGTTCTGAGTTAGAGATACAGTAAAGTACTGACGCATGAATTGGTGATCTGACATAGTTTTTGTTAAGATATGCTCTCATATTCTTCCTGTAATTAGTAAATAATTAAGTCAAGTGTAACTAACTAAATGATTATTTTAAGAGATACTTATGTGCAATAATCACAATATTTTTTATAGTTCCTAATAGCTTTCCGTTGATCATAAATTAACCATATTTAGTAAAGAAACAAATATATCCATGAATAATATCTTGTATAAATAGAAGTTATTTAACGATTGTAAGATAGATCGTAGACCATAGACATTGACGTTGAACATTAAGTGTGATCGTACAGTTGTCTGTGATATCTCTATTTGTTGGTGTAAGTCAATATATACTAAAGAAGGTAGATGGCTACATCACAAAACCTAACAGTTTTGGGATAAAACTCTAGTACAGTCAAGGGTTAGAGATGAGATAGTCTTGGGTTGGAGATCAGACAAAGTCCTTAAAATATCACACAAAGTCATGGCTCAATGATTGGGAACGGGATTATAAGAAGTAATTGAAAACTATTTGAATATTTTTTGTGGAAAAAAAGTAGTGATGAGCCGATCGGGGAAAAATCACATTTGCCGATCCGATATAAAGGCATATCGGCTGATTTATCGGTAGCAATCAATAATTGAAAAACAAGAAATTTTTTAAATCTTTAACGTCCAAAGCAAAAAATTAGGGTTGCAAAAAATGTCAATACAATAGTCAAGGATATATTTAATTGTTTATATGTCTCGTAAATAGCTCCCCTAAAAAAATTCTATAAGTTTCTAGAAATAAAAATGAGCTTAGCTATTAAATTCATAAATTCATGTCGTATTATGCATAGAATATAATTTAACAGATTTGCAGACACAGTTTAGATTATTTTCGAGTAGTATAAAATGCACTAGAGGAATTAGAACATGGCGTATATTATCACGTAAGTTTGATACTTCGGTTAAACTTTATTGGCCAAATTGTGTAAAATTACGTTGATTAGATCGTAAATTTTATACTTTTGAGGACGATAATCTCTCTGAAAAACATCATTCTGCTCTTGATTATTGAAAACAAACACTCAAAAGTTTTTAAAACCAGTTTTCACAGCCCAAACTATGTCTATCGTAAGCCGATTTACGTCAATAAAATCGGCCGATAACCTATCTACATAAAAATGGCCGATTATCGGCTCATCACTAGAAAAAAGATTCGATTCAGTCCCCAGTCAACGCTGGTTCACCTTGGAGAGCCTTCAAATTCATCCCAATTATTTACAATTCCAAGAAATAAAGAACGCCAAGTATCATGCAGGCAACATTTTTTTCGTGCATGTATAATTCACTCACCAAAAACCAAATTACGAAACCGCTTAGAATTGCAGATAAAATAACGAATATAAGAATAGGCCAAGCTAGGAGAATAGCGTTTAAAAGTTCAGTTCCAGTGAGAGTTTTTTTCATCAAAACGACGACACCGGGAGAGTCAATCAATCTCACAAAAGGCATGTCGACAGACGAACTCTTTCCTCGACGTAGTTTAACAGGAACGAGTACGCTTTTTTTGTATCTTCCCAAAAATTCCGAGTACTCAGGTTTCGGTAAGGGATCAGACCTTTCAACACTTCTACTGTGTTTTGAAATTCTATATTCTTCACAATTATCGACGACATTATTCCAAATCTCCGGCAAGATACCTCTTAACTTTCCATTCATTGATGTTGTGTTCTCGCTGTAAATCAAGGGTTTCTTCGGCCACCAAATTATTGTATTCTTTGCTGCAATGTCTTCGCCATTTAAGCTGTGCGTGTTCACGAAGAGAAAAAGGAACAAATAAAACATTATTCAAAGATAAAATTTCGACTAATATCTTCAAAATATAGAATTTTGTATTCTCATCATAACAATACCCGTCAATTAATTATGATTTATTCAGGTGAAATTTGACGAAATAACGAAAGCTACAAACGGCAAGCGTTCTCAATGACAAAACATAAAAGAGTAACGGATAATTTTGCAGTTTTGTTTTCCTGAAAAATGTAAACGAAATAAGCCGACGTATATGCATTCTAAATGAGGAAAAAACAGTTTGTTGACACGATTCATCAACATTAATATTAAATTTTAATTAATATCATCTTTTATGACAACAGATGGGATATTTTATCTTTTGAAAAATCAATTTTTCGGAAGGTACGTTTGGAGAGGAGACGTTTGTGAGAACTCTAAACATGTGCAACCCTTGTCCTTCGGTCTCGGGCTTGCACTGATCTGCTCTCGAGTTCTCCCAAAGGTCTCCTCGGTTTGCATAAGCCTGTGCAAACACAGTAAACATCTTTTATTTTTTAAAATTTATTTTCTTCTCAAAATATAAAAATTACATATTTTTACATGATTTTTATATGTAAGTCAAAGCAGTTTAGTGTGACATCCCACAGCACATATAATAAAGATAAACTGGTCAGAAAAAACATCAAGCTCGAAAAACGGTAGGAACAAATTTAAAAAACATTGAAACGTTATTCCTAGAGGTATATTTTAACCACTGATTTAAAACGCTGTATTTTAATGAGAAAATAAGGGTAAACCAATTTTCGCTTTTCAAAACTTAAAGCTCATGGCTACAAGGTGAATGAATATTGCAAAAAAATCCCCGAGGGTATGTGATTTTCAATTTTGAAAATGTTCGTTCATTATTTCATGAATAAGTTCATAACCGTACTAAAATGTCCACTTGATAAAATTTAACACTGAACAATAAATATCATATAAACTCAACCTTCAGACGATTGGGGAGCAGCGATAAAGCTTTTTCAAAAAAACAAACGCTTTGCGGTACGTAAGATACCTGATTACATATATGCATCTGATAAATAATTTACGCGACAGAAAAAGCTGAGTTATTAAAAATGTCGAACAAATAAACTATAAATAATAAATTCACGATAAAGGCTCTCGGGACTGCGTCAATTTCAAGAACTAAAAATTCGTAAACATCAAGAGCTCGATATTCGATTAAAATGTCGAAAACGCTTTTAATGCTTCAGAGAAAGCTATTTTTTTACGATCAATGCTGTAATTAGGAAATAGTAAAGCATATAATGAACTTTTTATTTTGAAGTCAAATTTAATGACGCTGTCCAGCTAGATGGGTAATAGCCAAACTCTGAAAGCAAAACTCACATTAAATTAACGAAATAATAGTGGAATAAATGTCAAATTATAAATATACAAACAACAAAATGGAATCATTATGTTATTCACTGAAAAGTTGTTCAAACATTTACAGTTTTATATAATAATTTATAGAATGTAAGTAAGTAAGATGTATATATATATGTTCAAAAATAAAAGTTTCTCCGGATTTTAAATGATTTTTATTGAGCTTTCGACTCGTTGCTTCGAGCCTTCATCAGAATGAGGAAGTTATTTATTTACCCTTGCTTTTAGCTTGTAGACGCTTGGAGCGTCTAAAATCCGGAGAAACTTTTATTTTTGAACAATAAATGCCTGTATTGCCAATCTTTAAACATATAGATATATGTATACATAGGTTGGTCAAAAAGGCAGGTATAGCCACTGTTGTAAATTTTCATTCTTAGTGGACCTGTTGTCAGCATTATTTGCTAACTTTTTCATTCACAAATTTTACTGAACTTCGGGAATAAACTGTGTATCGAACATAGATCAAGGTCAATGGCAGAAAAGAAGGGTTTCTGAGAGGGGTCTTTATAAAAAGAAGAGAGGGGATTCCGATTCCGAGAGGGTCTTTTTGAATAAAAGGGAGGGGTTTCTGAGAGGGGTCTTTATGAAAAGAAGAGAGGGGGTTCAGACGGGATCTTTATGAATGAAAGAGGGGATTCCGAGGAGGTCTTTACAGATAAAGCGCACCGCGATTTTAAAATGATGAAAAGCTTTTCTGTTTAATGATAGCATCAAGACAGAAATATTCAGTTGTTCCTCATGTAATGTAAGTTGTAAAGGGTTTGTAATATAAGAGGTTCCCCCTAGTGTTCTCCATTTTACCCACCCCCCTGAAGGAACAGACACTTTTACATAGGTGGTTGACAAGTTGCCCGACCAGCACAGGAGAGCGTAAATTGAAACCATTTTCTCAAATGCCAAAGTTCAGCCAACTATTTACCGCTCCGCAATAAGACCACGCTCACAACAGCATTACTTTTTAGTTGGATAAGGGTTTTCAAACGAGAAGGGAGGAAAATTTTATTAAAGGCACTGACTGCCTTATCCCGATTTGATGAAAATCTTTTCATGTTAAGCAGATTGTGTAGCGGTAAAATATTATCATATTTGATAGTTTTACTTTGGCGTTCACGGCAAACCGCACAAAGTCACATGATCATGACTTTGCGGTTTGAGTTTCGGGTTTTAACGGGAAGGGCCCTTCTTGCGGTAGGTGATATACATTGATCAAACATTGAAAAATGTTGAGACTTTATAATCGAAGATCAAAAAACGCTTTGTTTTGCGGCTTTTCAAAACAAAAAGCAAATCCCCAGACGCAGAAAGCAAAATGGTTCGAGATAATTTCCACTTAAATATCAATATTTACTAAAATATTTGCTGAGTTAGGATAATAAATTATTAAAAACAGGAGGAAGGAAGCAAAAACAGTAAAAACGAGTACTTAGATCAATCAAGTGTCAAACGAGATGATATCAATTTATCCATCCGTCTTCCACTGTGTATATTTGAAAATTTTTTTCTACAATATTGCAAAATGACGATTACGATTGTTAATAAATCATTTTGCAACACACTTAGCTGTTGAAAGAAATTAGTCTTCTTTCAACAAACAAAATCATGCGTTTGAAAGGATGTCCCCCCCCAGATAAATATTATATTTTCACAACTATATTATCTATTTGTACAAAAAGAAAATGTAATTAAGTATAATACATAAAAGCCATTTTTGAAGGTCTTCCTCACAAAAAAATTAACCTTGACAGTAACACTGCTGAAGAGTATTTTGAAAAAGACAGCTTTCTTAAGGAGCAAGTGTGTATAACTTATATTTAACTCGAAATGCATGCTGGGTCATCCAGCTCGCTCTCTGACGTCATAAGATAAATACAGCGGCTTACTCAAGTGATATGTACAACGATACAAGGCAATATATAATTCTCACCTCTCAGGAGATGTTCGCGCTAATATTAAAGTTCGCACGTTTCAAAGAGCTACATGATTAACACACATAATGCTCGAATATTACTATCTTTATGAAGGTACATTGAAGAAAATCACACTGATATATAAACCGTATCAAGTTAGGTTTTGAACAAATCTTCAATGCTTAAAAGGTAAGAATAAAAGTTATCAGATTGATCGAAATATCTTTGTTTTGTAGTAAATTTTTCCTTTGTTAGACTTTGCCAGCTGCGCGGGAATTAAATTCGCCAGGGCCTCTCAGTTTCCATAAAATGTTCATTAAAAAACACAAATACTAAGAATCAGATTTTTTTCCCGTTTCCCGTACTTCACGACCCTAGGTTTTATCCATGTGTAATTTCTTGGGTAATGACAACAAAAACCAAGAGATTACAAATGTCGTCAACATGAACACAATAATTTTAGGCTTTTAGTCGTGTTTTAAAAATAATCGTTATCTTGATGAAACTCGGTTGCACAACAACGAAGAAATTTCAGCTCAGCTCAACCGCTATTGAGGAGCTAAAATCGTGGGAGTGTGCGGCAGCAGATAAAATAGAGTTTTTATCAATAAGATCGCGAAGGCAAAGTAATTATGGTCGACCAAATGCATGATTCTGCTCGCAATGGAATAAATATTCGCAAAGTGAGATTCTATAAAATACACACAACACTATCATAAAAATTAACATCCTAAAGCGCAAGAACTTTCCAAGCGCTGTAAACTCCTTCGTGCAAACAACAGAAACGCTTTAAGGATGTTTGTTATCTTTGAAATCTCGAGCAAATTTTCAATTAATCACAGCCAAAAATATATGAAATGTAATTATAATCGATATGATGACGTCAACGGCATTGCGAGATTGAATACAACACAGCTTGCGTTGCAAGTGTAAATCTTGTCTTGATTATTTCATAGCAAAGCAAACGCATTTTCGCCTTATCTAATTCGAATAAAAACTATTTAAATATATTACATATACCATCATGTTTTGACTACGAGTCTGAATATTTAATTACGACGTAAATATAATTCACGACGGATTTTTCAAGATTCTTAAAACCTCCTGTTAAGTGTTTGAGTAAATGATACCGAGGGAGCCGTCTTGCTAGCTACGTTACAACGTCAAGTGCTAAAATTCAGCAATATTTTACTCGGTTTTAAAAACATTAAACCGATGAATTTTTTTGCGATGATTTTGTGTAACATTGATTGATGATGTTAAACGAGCCTGTATTTATGTAGGATGAACAAATAGGATGCATTGATTTGGGCACAATATTTTAACTGAACATCAAAAATTTCATCACCAATACGCATGCGTGGTCTGGACAAGGTATGAACAGCGTTAAATGACAGATTCTCGAAATGCGCACTAAATTAACAATGTGGAAAATTGTGATCCTTCAATGTACATTATTACTCCTAATGATTTGCCTGCACGCGGGAGGAGAAACCCTGGATAAGCTGTGCAATAAGGACCGTCAACTCACCGTCAAATATTGGGATCATGGTCCATATATCACACGTACATCACGTGATTCCGTAACGGGAATCTTCCCAAGCTTTCTCGATGACATGGTGGGACATTGCTGCAAAGGAGCTCAAGTCAAGTACCAGCAAACTAGCGGACCAGCGGATTTCTACAAGACTATAAAGGAAATGAAATTGACCAAGTATGTAAGAATCACGGATTGAGCAAAATCGACAAAATTATCGACAATATTGTCTTGAAAAGCGTGAACAACCACAACGTATATAGTATATAGAATAAGTAGCTCTGAGAAGATCATTTGCAACTCAAAATCAAGATAAACTAAATGACACTAGTTATGTATTTCCAGAGCAGTTCCTTAAATATTTTTCCACCATTTCTTTAATATATTCCACCATCCCCACCATCCACAACCATTCCCCCACACCACACCCTCACTCCACACCACACATCACTCCCACACCCACCCACACACCATCACTCCACACCCTACACACCACACACCCACACCATCACTCCCCACATCCACACACCCCACCCCCCCCCCACCATTCCCCACCACACATCACACCACTTCACCATTCATTCCTTCCATGTTAGTAATTTCGCTTTAAAATGAGCCACAATAATACCTCTCATTTTCTCCTAGTATCCCACACTATCCCACACTAACCACATCATGAGTAAATAAGATTTATGTAATACATAATACCGGACCAAAAAATCGCCTAATTTTGCAGATCCATTGTCGACACAGTTCTCTAATGAATACTTTTTACGCTTCTTACAACCTTTCCCCCCCTGACGTGAACATCTCTGTAATAAAATTTTCTAGATCTTCACTTTCATTTGACATGGTGTTGCCTGTTTACGTTGAAAGTTTTGGCAAAGAATCATTCGAAAATTTAACATTCGTAGCTATGACTGAATCACTTGGTATGGCCGTGTTGAAACATAGTAACGTCTCAAGGGGAAAACTCATGGTCTCTCTTCTACAATCGTGGCCAGTTTTGATTTTTATTCTACTCATTGCCTCACTTGCGGGAATTCTTATTTGGATAGTGGTAAGTATTTCCAGTGGTGGGGGGCTCTCTTGACGAAGCTGAAGCCATGAAATTATGAAAAATTACCCATTTCAAAGGTAGAAGGGGGGCTCCTCTTCCAAGTGCCCCACCCCCCACTTCTACAGCACTGAGTATTTCCTGTAGGTATAGCCCGCATCTTCCTTAACAGTAGTGATCTCGTCCACAAATTCAAAGGGGCTCCTCCCCCTAGCGCGCCCTCCCCCCCACTTCTACAGCACTGAGTATTTCATGTAGGTATAGCCCGCATCTTCCTTAACAGTAGTGATCTCGTCCACAAATTCAAGGGGGCTCCTCCCTAGCCCTCCCCACTTCTACAGCACTGAGTATTTCCTGTAGGTATAGCCATCTTCCTTAACAGTAGTGATCTAGTCCACAAATTCAAGGGAGCTCCTCCCCTAGCCCCTCCCCACTTCTACAGCACTGAGTATTTCATGTAGGTATAGCCATCTAACTTAACAGTAGTGATCTCGTCCACAAATTCAAGGGCTCCTCCCCTAGCCCCTCCCCACTTCTACAGCACTGAGTATTTCATGTAGGTATAGCCCGCATCTTCCTTAACAGTAGTGATCTCGTCCACAAATTCAAACCCAGAAACTTAAGAAAAAATTTTCGCAACGTTTTAAGTCTTACTACGTTCATTTAAAAGTAATTCTATCTAGAAGTAATTCAGAAAGAGACAAAACAAGGGAAGGAAGGATTTTATGGTTTAGTTATGTACAGAAGAGGATTATTGGGTATACAGGTAAAAGAATGCTTAGTTTAGAATTGCGAAGTAAGAGAGGTCTAGTAAAAGATCAAAGAGATGATGTATGGAATTATTAAAAAAAATATGAAGATTAGTTTAAGATGAGCATATACAATAGAAATTAGACTAAAACAGATAGAGGCAGATGATTTGTTGAGGCGAACCCTAAGATAAGAATACAAAAGAGTAAGAAGTTCTATCAATGTTCAACACCATCCTACAAACATCCCCTGGTGAACCCGCAAACAAAAATTATGAAATGGCTAAACCAAACACCAAATGGTCAAACTACTAAATCAACAAAGATTACAGACTGAGACAAGGATCTCTTATAAACTGCAACTATACAACATGACTAGCAATGTTTACTCCGATATACCAAAGTTCCATGTTCAAGTCACATTTTTTTCACATGCTTATTAAGTCTCATGTTTTTCACATGCATATTAAGTCACATGTTTTTCACATGCATATTAAGTCACATGTTTTTCACATGCATACTAAGTCACATGTTTTTCACATGCATATTAAGTCACATGTTTTCACATGCATACTAAGTCACATGTTTTTCACATGCATATTAAGTCACATGTTTTTCACATGCATATTAAGTCACATGTTTTTCACATGCATATTAAGTCACACGTTTTTCACATGCATATTAAGTCACATGTTTTTCACATGCATATTAAATCACATGTTTTTCACATGCAACTGTGTTAGAATTGTTGTTCTGAGTCTTTGTTGATGCTTTCGAAAAAAATCCAAATACAATAGACTAAAATGTGCAAGGGCTCTTTCTACCTGAAAACCCCAGAAACAACACAATAGTTTCAAGATTTATGTCATATATACTTTCAGGAAAGAAAATCCAACCCAAAGTTTGCAGAATTATTCCCACAAGGTGCATTTGATGGTTTCTGGTGGGCTTTTGTTAGTATGACATCTGTAGGGTAAGCACATGCTTTACAAAAATTCCTTCAAAGTTTATCTAAAAGCAAGCTCTAACTATTAAGATCAAGTCTGTCTTTGTTTTTTCTCACTCATCTGAGAGAACAAAATGTTCAGCAGAAAATTAGATGTCTGCTTTTCTTGATTCTTAATCACTAAATAATCTTATCTTTGCATAAATTAGCCATTATCTTTTACAGTTATGGAGACAAGTATCCAAAGACGATAGTTGGCAAGTTACTTGGTTCTTGCTGGTTGGTTTTAGGAATGCTATTTGTCACCATGTTTATTGGAATTTTAACTACAACATTAATGAACTTATTTATGGAAGGCACATTTGATATTCAGAATGAAATGGTAAGCCTAAAGTCATAAAACTCTCTTTTAGAAGATAATTTATAAAAAATAAACAAAATTTTCAATTAAGTTACGTCACAACAACTACCAATATAATATAGCCTACATAGACATTAAATTTCAATTGAAGCTTCTACTCTGTACTATACTCAACAACTCTATGTAAATTTTACTCTTTCTTTATTACTAAAGGTCGCAGTTGTGAATGGAAGCGTGGCTCACTGGTTAGGCATTGAACATCATGCGTCATGTAAAGGTAAAACTTAAACATTGAGATTTCCCCATTGAGAACACAAATGATATTAAACATAACGCAAATTGCGTTGACTGTATATAGTACATGTTGAATGACATGAATAATCAAACTTTACCATAAATTCAACTCTTTAACGACAGTCCACAGTCGACATCCTACAGCCTGAGCCTAAGCGTTCCTCTTCTGTTCATAATAATACTTTTTCTCGACGTTTCCAGGGTCTTACTGACATAAAATTACATGCCACGTACCGAATTTGGTTTTAATATATTTTTTTTTCGAGTAACCTCGTTAAAATCCTTCGACAAACAAATATTATGCCGAAAAGTTTGATTATTTCTACGAAGTGGTGAAAGTATTATCGACGGCCATGTTGAAAATTTGGCTCGAAAAAATTGATCGCATAATTGACTGTGATTGGTCAATGTTGACAACGATTTTCTACCAATCAGAACCAATTATCTAGAATGGTGGTGGAAAACTTGCTAACTTCAACATAAAAATCCACCAAACCACTACCCAGTACAAAGATTCTATTTGACCATAAATTCTATTACGTCTAAGAGTAACAATTTTCTAATTTTGAAACAAATAGGCGGCTCACATCGTAAACTTTTCCCAAGGTTTATCCAACTTTCCAAAGCCTTTTTGCTTTGTTTTGATGAGCACATATACAACTCACTTTGCTAGCGGTAATCATAATTTCAAAATAAGTCAGGGCTGCTAGCTTGTTATTGAAAAACTAATTTCAAAATTAACTTTAGCTATGAAAAAACAGGAAGAGTTATACGAACTGTTGATCAACTACAAAGTAGACGCGGCTTTGGTTGACATAAACAGTTTGAAAGAAGCGGCGGGCGACTTACAAAGGAACTACAAAATTAAAGTCACTGGAATTCTACCAAAAGAGACATTCTACGGACTTGTGCTTAGCAGAAGAACAGAAAGTTTAGCTAAATGCTTTCGAAGATACATTGAAATCAACGAGCTAGCTATATTCAGAAAGATGTCGCAGTTTAGTGGAAAGCAAAAGGTAGCCATATAAAATTGAGATCAATTGTAATCTAAACAAAGTTACTCTACACAGTAAACTCCACCAAAACGTAATCTTTCGGCTAACGCTTAACCGAATCCCAATAATTTACCGATGCAAAAAATATCATTGGTCACAACGTTCGAATAGGTTGAACTGCGATTGAACTGTGAATATTTTAAATTTATCGATATGGTGAAAATTTTCTTTCGTGAAACTCTTTGACATCGAATTAAGTTGTGCTGCTGTTGGTTGTGCACTTTAAATCGCTTGTTTCAGCCTTTTGTGGATCTTTAATGAATTACAATCGACTTGTTAACATCACAGTTAGAAGCTTTACATGCATCAGGCGTTTGAATCGAAATATTTTTTACGTTGTTCTTAGACTTACCTTATTGTACTTTAAAATAAAATTTTTTCCCAATTTTCTTTACAGAACAAACTTGATCCAGCAGAAGATTATTTTGGAAGTGGCGGAATCTTTAGTATATGTGTGTACTCTATGTTGGCAAGTCTGGCATTATTCTGTGTTGTTGGTTGTCTTTGGGAGTTGTGTAAACGAAAACACTCAACGCTTATGAAAGAAGGCAACGGTAAGCGCATTAGAAATGATGATTGTATAATAAGAGAACGGGTTGAACAACTTAGGTCGAATAAGCAACAGAGAACAATAACAATCTTTACACTAACTAAAATATATAAGAAATAAGATAACGTGTTTCAGTGTAGGTAGTGATGAATGTACAACAGAGAACGAGAACAGTCTTTACACCAGCTAAAATATATAAGAAATAAGATAACGTATGTCAGTGTAGGTAGAAATGAATGAACAACAGAGAACGAGAACAGTCTTTACACTAACTAAAATATATAAGAAATAAGATAACGTGTGTCAGTGTAGGTAGTGATGAATGAACAACAGAGAACAACAAAAGTTTTTACACTAACTAAAACACATAACTAAGATGGATTTCAAAATAGCAAATACCATGGTGAATGGTGATAATAAAAATGTAATACTTCTTAAAAGAACTGTTTTAACCAGAACACTAACCCAACAATTCAAAGGAACCGTTATTTACAGCTAGAAAGAGACACTATGCATTTCGGCAGACTACTCGACAGGTGTCAACGTCTGCTAAATGAGAAACTCCAAATCATGCTATATTTATAACGTTACAAAAGGTCAATGTCATCCCTACTTTTAGAGATGACACTTAACGGTTCCTTTGAATTGTTGGGTTAGTGTTTTGGTAAAACAGTTCTTTAAGAACTATTACATTTTATCACCATTCACCCTATTTTGAAATCCATCTTTAAGTTTGTCACCACGACAAAGTCTCTGTTTCACAACTAAGATAACAAGACTGAAGATGTTCGACCATTGTAAGAAAGACTGAACAATAATATTTAATACTGTTTTAATAAATATATACTTTGCAGATGAGTACTACAGCAAAAATGGTTCAATTAGTGGATGCACAAAACTTGGAACAATGGACACATCATTGGAAACGTTACCAAGTAAAGAACAATACCATCTTAAAGACTCATTTGAAGCAATAAACCAGTTATATTCAAGACAAACTAACGTCTGATAGACAGACGTGTCAATGACAAGTTAAAATACAACAAACAAAGATACTATACGTGAATTTTGATGACATTATAACGTTTTTCAGTTGACTCCAGTTTTTCAATGAAATGTAAATAGTCGACAGTTCAGAACCTGGGGGAGTGTGTAAACTCATTTTGACAAGATCTTGTAAAAGACTTGCGTAAATGGTCGAATTGCATGGTTGTGAGACTAAACCTCTGGTTGGCTGTAAGCCACAGGCTAAATTCAGGGAAAAACTACAACTTTAATTGGGTGGTGGAGGGGGGGGGTATATACTCATATATTCAACTCTGTCCTACTGATTTCTTTTGTTGGCAATTTTAATTTCAAAAGAAGTCAGCTATGCAGAGCTGAATACATTAATATATACTCCCCCTCCAATTAACGCCCAGGGTAAAATATGAAAAAGCTTTAAATATAAATGTTGACATTATATTATAATTTCAATCTATTATGCTATCTTTTCTTTACTATTGTTCGAAAGGCAGCACGGCGAATTAATTAATTACACTCATCAATAAATTACATGTATGGTGAATGCATAATATACGGGACATTATACGCTGAGCTATAAATCCCAACTGAATAGATGATGTTTTACAAGCATATCTTGAACGCTGTCCTTCAAAGGTTTACTCACCTAAAAAGAAATTTAATTTTGTTTAAAACATTTTTATCTGTATTCTTTTTACTTACTGTTATTTTAGTTTATAAATAATTTTTGCACGTAGTGTAAAAACTGTTCTCGTTCTCTGTTGTTCATTCATCATCACCAACAGAAGCCAAGACTACAGTACAATCTATTTTAAATTAAAGCTTACACTTACGCTGGCATCCTGTTTTCCAAAATATTCATGAGATCATAAAATGAAAAAAAAACGTTAGATTTAAGAATATCGTTTCCTGAAAACAAATCAGAGAGTAAAAGTAGCTACATACGCCTTTTTGATCCAAAATTTCCCAGTCAATGTTCAGACTGAACGCGAACAATGCCAATACTCTGGGAGAAAAGAAAACACAAAATTTTGTAGCTATGGTATTGTTTGACGAGCCCGACAAGCAGTAGCAGGGATTTTAGTAAGACGTGAAATAATTTTGGTAAATAATAAAACGATGTAATATTTATCATTTGGTAAATTATCTTGAATATTTTCGATATATTATCATTTGAATGAGTGCGATGATAAAAATTATTAGATTTAGTTAAGAATTACCTTAATTCACATTTTATTTGCACCCATCCAGGACTTCGTATAAAGGACCATGGATAATACCTGCAATGAAAATATCCAAAGTAATTTATTGATTTGAGATTTTTCAACACAAGAAAGAGTTACATGTTTGTAGATGTAGATCGTTCAGGTTGGTATAGTCCTGAGAAGGACTGTTTTTTTTGTTGTTGACTGACGTTTCGACAACCTTAGTGGTAGTCATCTTCAGAGTCAAATAAGGAGTAAACGTCAGGTTAGCCGTATTTGTTATCTGACATTTACTCCTTATTTGACTCTGAAGATGACTACCGCTAAGATTGTCGAAACGTCAGTCAACAACAACAAAAACAGTCCTTCTCAGGACTATACCAACCTGGACGATCTACATTTACAAACATGTAACGATACTCCCGGGTTCAAACCATTAAGTTTACAAGAAAGAGTTTGGTCATGCGCAATTGGAAACATTCAAAACTTTCATGACAAAATATTACTTTTGTATTTTAAAGTACATAAACATAAAAATCTTCTTGGAAACTAAATTTTAAGCATTTATTATATTTATTATTTAAGGCTTTGCAATAAAACCGCATACTTCGAGGAATAAATAATCACCAAAATTAACAGTAAGTATGTTCAATTTTTTCAATAAAAACGCTCATATATAGAAAGATCTTGCCGTTTTTACATGGTTTTTCGAACTTAGACGATATTAAAGGAAGTGAATGTCTCAGAAACAGAGCTATTATGAATGTCTCAGAAACAGAGCTATTATGAATGTCTCAGAAACAGAGCTATTATGAATGTGTCAGAAACAGAGATATTATGAATGTCTCAGAAACAGAGCTATTATGAATGTCTCAGAAACAGAGCTATTATGAATGTCTCAGAAACAGAGCTATTATGAATGTCTCAGAGACAGAGCTATTATGAATGTCTCAGAAACGGAGCTATTATGAATGTCTCAGAAACAGAGATATTATGAAGAAATAATTTGAATAACTTCTTGGAAAAAGGGAGGCCACAATAAAGAGTTTGTGTAACAGTTTCTAAATTAAATCGAAAGTAGTCAGGGTAAACCGTTGCAAGATTTGAAATATAAAATATAGGACTAGAGGCTGTTATAATTCCGCGTAATAGCCCCCCTCTTTTCACTTTCGTGCAAACCCCCCTGTTCCCTTTCCTACATACCATCTGCCAACAATTGACTCTGATGAACACAAGGATTCAAACCATAAATGAAGACATTGTTCACTAAAATAAACAAAGGCAGTACGTATAACAGCAGGGAAAGATGCACAAAGGTGCACCTCCATGCAAGCCTCGGTTCAAAAAAGGCTACTGTAATTTGTGTTTGATGGAACACACGTCATCTAAGATGGAATTCATTCATGGTATAAGAGCGAAAGAATCTGAACAAAAACATGGAAAAGCGACATCTTTAACTTAAAAGCAGCAAAATTTTATTCAAACTACGTAGAGATGCCACCCCTACATAATCATCGTTTCACTGTATTCCATGTTTAACAATATTCAACAATTGCAAACTTACTTTAATCCATAACAAATCAACGATCTCAGCTGCAAAGAAAAAAGTTCAAAAGTAGTATAAGAAAAAAATGAGCAAACTATTCATGATAACATGTAAAAAAAGGCACGCAATGACAGCCGTCGGTTCAAATATTATGATCGTGCTATGTACATTTCAGTTCATTCACATTACTCATTTCTTGAGAAATCTGTTGCTTTTACATTACAGAAAAATTTGCCCAGCAAGACAAAATTTTCATAAAAATTCTGTACCCTAGTGTGAAACTACCTTAATGCTCTAAATGGTTTCAGTTCAGTAGAAAAAATATAAAATTACCGATTTGGATCGATCGTGACTAAAACACCACACGAATACATACGAGTACATACGAGTGACATACGAGTGACATACGAGTGACATACGAGTACATGCAAGTACATGCGACTGACATACGAGTACATACGACTGACATACGAGTACATACGACTGACATACGACTACATACGGGTCACAATATATATATATATATATATATAACCTTAACCCTAACCCTACATAGTCGTATGTCACTCGTATGTCCGTCGTATGTACTCGTATGTATTCGTATGTACTCGTGTGGTGTTTTAGTCACGATCATTCGGATCATGCAAGTACTGACATTTCTGTCTTTGAAACGATTTATCTTTGGTCGACTACGGAAAACGGACATTTCGACACAAATATTTTTTTTTTGGATGGTGGCTTTTCCCGTCAAGCTGAACAGAGATTGTGAAATCCACATCAAACAAAAAAATATATAAGAACTTTAAAGTTTTACCTTCACATCCATTTGAGTTTTAGCGCTATCGTGAGTCATATTAATTGATTGAACAGCCTGAAAAGCAAAATGAAATTCATTTTCAATCTTCCTGAGTTCTACAGTAATACAGTACGTATAGAGTTCAGAGCAAATCCTTAGCAACTTTGCTATGATAAAAGGGAATGGAGCAGAGGATAACTTTCACTTCAATATGTTACAGTCACATCAATTTTTTGTCGCCAGCAAACAAAGTGAAAATAATTTCATAAAAATTTCCGGAAAAAACATTTCCTTGCCGTAAAGGGCATTAAAAGGCTTCAATTTTTTAGACCGGCTGTTTTTTAGTGCCTACGTGAAAAGGCGAAAAAGCGTTTTCAACAAAGACTTTTAAAATAGGCTTCGATGTATAACTCTCATAATGGGAAGTCAATATTCAACTTACTCTGTACAAAATTTCCTCAGGAGAAAGAACTTTACCATCTTCATCAAGTCGGAATGTCTTACATAAAACTAAGCGCGAGTAAACAGACTGGAAATCTTTTTCCACTTGATGAGCACTTGCCTGAAGAAAATATATGAAAATGCTGTACGACGTTTCATAAACCAGAAGTAATTTTAAAGTTTTATGGTATTTTATGTGTTAAATTATTCGTGATTCGGCAATAACATTCGGATTGTACCTGAAATATTTATGATTTTAAGGGCTGTTTACATGATCCCGGCTAACCGAGTTTCAGTGAGGCGTGAAATGATTTCGAGGTATTGATAGGAGGGAAAACTTCAAGTTTCTAAATTACAACTGTTTGTTAAATGCCGCAATTCATTCCTGTTGTAATTCTCAAATTAGTCCAAATTGGTTATTGTAATTTAAAAGTTTTGCGTAGTTATTAAATCAGAACATTGTGAAATTGCTCGAGAAGATTTATCTGACGATAAGTATTGAATCGTTTCCATTTGCCAAAATCATTTATCGCTTGCCTGAATCCCGGCTACCCGAGCTCTTGTAATCAGCCCCTTATTGTGGAACAAATAACAAAGTTAAGTATCAGCGAACAACGATATTTACAATAACAAGTTAAGAATATCACTTAATTCTGACATGTGTCGTATCTACCTAATTATGCATGCAATCCTATGTTGTTTACGTCTTTTCGTTTGATGTTCATACCTTAACATTATGTCCCAGAAATGATTTTAGTAAGATCACAGGTTTGAAAGGGGGAATATCACGGGGAGGCGTGTATTAGGGATAGGCGCTTGATGAAGACACTAGACTTGAGTATACCACAAGATAAAATGATGTAAAATAATTGTGTACCTCTTCAATGAATAACCAAGGATGATAAGAACCGCCAAGAAACGATTGTCGTTTCATTCCGTGTTCAAAAATATTTTTCAAAGCCGGACAAAGACTACCACGAACCAGGTCAGTCACGGTTTCGGAAACAGAATCATCACCGGCGCTAGAATACTAAATATAAAGAAAACTTTGTGTTGTCAAGTCTTGAAATTTTAAATGGCGCGCTTTATAGACAATCTCTGTATACTTCATGTTATACAACTATTACGTCGCGAGATACACTTGTTACTTAACATAAGGATAATGTTACACAACTAGACAGGGGTAAATTAGGACTCAAGACATTAGATCACTCTGATGAAAACAATAGACTGGAGTATACAAAGACTAAAGTTTTAATATCAGATCACTCCTGATGAAGATACTAGACAGGTGAAAATTAGGACTCAAGCTAAAACATTAGATCAGTCTGATGAAGACAATAGACTGGAGTATACAAAGACTAAATTTTAAAGACATTAAACAGAACTATATATACTCAGGGTGTTTGATGTACAATACATGCAACAAATTTTCAACGACAACTCGCAAAGTAATAGTTTGTAGGTCGTCGTTGTTATTTGTACGATACAACATCGGCATTACGGCCAGAAAATTTCAATCAAGATACAAAAGGAAATTAAAATAGTCAAAGCACGTAGTAAATTCACAAAGGTTTTAAAGGCTCATACTTCTTTGCTACGCTCGTCGAGAATTTCAACAAACTTTGCAGGAAACCAACCTATGAGACAAACGATGCAACGTAAACAACAGCGTATGAATTGATGATTCGACAGTAAAGGCGCTTTCTTTATATAAACCAAACTACGGTTAGCTAGCGTCACAAAAACTTTTGCACACGAAGGGTGGGGCACAAGCTTAATTTAAAAACATTTCTGAGGGAGAGGCACCAGTTTGAAGACAATTTCTGCTGGAGAGGCACCAGTTTAAAGATAATGTCTGAGGGAGGGTAACCAGTTTAGGGACAATTTCTGCAGAAGACACCAGCCTAAAGACATTTCTGAGGAAGAAGGGCACGAAAATTTCTGCTACGTACGCTGAATGCAAAATTGTGTAAAAGCGACTCTTCTTAAGCGCTACATTCTAAGGAAACTATTTCTAAATGGAGAAGCACTTGTGGGTGTGTGTGGGTGTGTGTGGGTGTGTGTGGGTGAGAAAGAGAAGAAGAGAAAATCTTTCAGGGAACCTGCACTACCACCTAACCACGTCATTAAAATGGAGGTGTGGGTGTGTGGGTGAGAAAGAGAAGAAGAGAAAATCTTTCAGGGAACCTGCATTGCCACCTAACCACGTCATTAAAATGGAGGTGGGTGTGTGTGTAAGAAAGAGAAGAAGGGAAAATCTTTCAGGGAGCCTGCACTACCCCCTAACCACGTCATTAAAATGGAGGTGTAGGTGTGTGTGAGAAAGAGAAGAAGGGAAAATCTTTCAGGGAACCTGCACTGCCCCCTAACCACGTCAATAAAATGGAGGTGTGGGTGTGTGTGAGAAAGAGAAGGGAAAATCTTTCAGGGAACCTGCACTACCCTAACCACGTCATTAAAATGGAGGTGTGGGTGTGTGTGAGAAAGAGAAGGGAAAATCTTTCAGGGAACCTGCACTACCCCTAACCACGTCATTAAAATGGAGGTGTGGGTGTGTGTGAGAAAGAGAAGGGAAAATCTTTCAGGGAGCCTGCACTACACCCTAACCACGTCAATAAAATGGAGGTGGGGGTGTGTGTAAGAAAGAGAAGAAGGGAAAATCTTTCAGGGAACCTGCACTACCCCCTAACACGTCATTAAAATAAAAAAACAAGAAAAAACATTCAAAAATAAACTCACCACGTAAACCATTTAACTCACCAACCCAACAATGTTCATCTTTTTGAGAAATGATCTAAAGCAGGAAAATTGATGAAATTAGTATTGATTATCAACTTATCCTTAAATAAAGGAAGCACTAGACACATGATGACGTACAGTGATGATGTCATTCTTTCTGAATCCTAACTCGTCGTCATCATGACGCTCAAAGTCCAACAACGCCTTTGCTCGACGTCGACGATTTCTATTGATAAGATTTAATACGATCACGAAATCCATATGATAAGATTTAATACGATCATGAAATTCATATAAGATTTAATACGATCAAAAAATCCATATAATAAGATTTAATACAATCACAAAATCCATAGGATAAGATTGCGATATCCAATTGAAATCTGACAGATAAATTTAATAAGATCGCGATATCCAATTGATCATTATCATCATATCTTTTCGCGCCAGGGGTGATCCAAACTCGGGCTGGAAGTTTGGAAGTGTTGCGCGTGTTGTAGCAATCAGTCGAAATCAGGGACGGCATGTGAAGCCTTGCTACTTGTCCCCATCCAATTGATAAAATTCACGCTTAAACCGTACAATTACCAATACTTCAGTGAATCCTATGGCTTTTGTACGTATGAAAGACGTTTGAAAGAAATAGTTTATTTTTAAGTACAAATAATTTCAACTCTTACTTTGCAACGTTTACAAAATTTTCATAATCATGAGCATGACTTTCGACGGAATAATCAACCTGCAGACCCTATGAAACAATGATTTTATTAAACAAAGACATAAAATAAATACACATATATGTAATTTCTGTGACCATCTGTAACAGCTAAATGACAGGATTGGGATAGATAAACAAGAATAAAAACGTATCTTTCCCGCATTTCATAATGGATAAGCATAGACATAGCGAGTTACTTGCACAATATACGTAATGGATAAGAATGGATATAGGACGTTCTTTGATTTATATACGTAATGGATAAGCATGGATATATGATGTACCTTTCTAGCATCAAATGCATCAAAATGACGCGTAATCTGTGAAATTGCTTCTCTAAGATCTGCCAAAATTTCTTTAAAAATAAGCATACCTGACGTTATAGCTTTAGAACTGTTAGACACAACGAGTGATAGGACTGGGAACTACTGAAGCACATGACTTTACACTAAATTTGTGTATTTTAAGCAAAACGTAGTTTTGAAAATATGAAAAACTTTTTTACATACGTAAAAGTCAGCAGAGTTTAACATTTTTATGATAAAATTATTACAAAAAGAGAAAAAACTTTTTTGTCTGAACAGATTCCCAGAGGTTAGTCTCCAACACATGAAATTCTTACCTGTTTGTCGAATGTTTTTTGCTTTGGCCAAAGCTAACTCTTGTTTGCCTGGAAAAAAAAACATAGACAATAAAACAGTTTTCTATAACAAGAAAGTAAAAAGTAATATGACACATTATTCTGAAAAGTTTCAGTCGTACACGTGTTTGTATTTTGTTAAATTGAAATAATACCACCATCTACGTAAATACTCAAAAAACTGTTTAGTTCAACACTTTCCCAACTCTTACTACATTTATCCCTGGATGTCCCACTTACCCATAAGATACCCCAACAAGGAATAATACCACCATCTACGTAAATACTCAAAAAACTGTTTAGCTCAACACTCTCCCAACTCTTACTACATTTATCCCTGGATGTCCCACTTACCCATATGATACCCCAACCAGGAATAATACCACCATCGACGTAAATACTCAAAAAACTGTTTAGCTCAACACTCTCCCAACTCTTATTACATTTATCCCTGGATGTCCCACTTACCCATAAGATACCCCAACCAGGATGAACTTTCCATTCGAACAATGTGTCTGCGATGTATTTTCTAAAATATATACAATTCAAGAGTAATGAAAGGATTTAGCCAACAGATCCGAACGTTGTCAACAATTAAATTTATTGTTTACAATGCGTGATAATTGTCGATAATTATTGAAATTGCTACTTTTTGAACACATAACGAGCTAGCTATACAATATACAATAACTTTATTAGATTAAAAGCATTGGGTCATATATGCAAATTTTTTACTAGATTTCGTCTACTGATCTTAGACTCTCCCACCTGCTTTATACAGCAGCAAACTTCATAACAAGGGGGAGTGCTTATGCTTAAATTTTACTAGATTTCGTCTACTTATCTTAGACTCTCCCACCTGCTTTATACAGCAGCAAACTTCATAACAAGGGGGAGTGCTTATGCTTAAATTTTTACTAGATTTCGTCTACTTATCTTAGACTCTCCCACCTGCTTTATACAGCAGCAAACTTCATAACAGGGGGGAGTGCTTATGCTTATCAAACCGAATCTGGTTAAAAAATCTTCATACATGGTCACACTGATTACAAGTTACAACGTGCAGATCGACTGAAAGTAAACTCATCAATTTCCACTTCATCTTCAATTTCAATTTTCAAATTCCACGATAAGTTCGAAAGTTAGCTTTGCGGTTTTCGCTACGCTATATGACTGTTTGCCAAATTATCCCTAGGTGTCCCAAAGCGTTTCCCAAACCATCCCTACGTGTCCCAAAGTGTTTTCCAAATTATTCCTCGGTGTCCTACTTACACTTTTATCCCCCGAACGAGAACCATCAAGTCCAGTTAATGTGCCCAAGTCTGCCATTAAGAACGCCAAATGTTTCTTACGATGTGCCTCCAGTATAACATCGGTCAGGGAACCAGAAGCCTTCGCTGCCATCTACATGAGGTATGTGCAAAAGAATTAAAGTTCATTATAATTTAATATAACATCCAGTATATAATTGCAACTCACCTGAAATAGTTCATTTGTATCGGTGATCTCCCCCGGAATATCAGACAGTGCGTTGAATATTTGTGCTGAATTTTCTTGTGAAATAATGTAGTCTTCCTGTAATGATTTAATTTGAAATAATTTTTAATACTTAAGTATAGTTTAAGGGTTAAAGTGAAAATGAAGCAAGGAGAAATGAAAAGATGTTTTGAACAAAAAAATATCAATGAATCTTCAAAAAATCACACCTCATACCCTATAATATACCTCTGCGCCCCCCTTTCCAATGGTAGACACACGTGTCAAAAATACGATCTTCAAAAAATCACACCTCATACCCTATGATATACCTCCGCGCCCCCCTTTCCAATGGTAGACACACGTATCAAAATACGATCTTCAAAAATCACACCTCATACCCTATGATATACCTCCGCGCCCCTTTCCAATGGTAGGCACACGTATCAAAATACGATCTTCAAAAATCACACCTCATACCCTATGATATACCTCCGCGCCCCCCTTTCCAATGGTAGGCACACGTATCAAAAATACGAGATCAATGTAGAATAGTGGCAATATAAAAGAATAAAGATGCTCTTGGGGTATTTGTAAATCTTATTTGAGAAATACTGAACGACTAATTATAAAGACAGAAGGTTGTCGAGTGAATACAAACCATTTTCCGTCTAATCAAAGGAAAGCTTGAATATGACATGCAACATGCAGATACAAAGTTGTAGAGAAAAATTTCTAACGTTATCGTGGATATTACGAGTGGCGTAACAAAGTGTTGATGAGTTTGATATGCATTTGTCAAAACAAGCTTAAGAAGACAAAGAGCATGCCAAAAATGTGTGATTGAAAATTTGCTAAGCACATCTGCAAGCACCAATTTTTGAGCTCGCACCGTCACAAATTGATTGAGAATAAATCTGAGCATGCGTAGTCAACTCCACCAACTCTGTAAGTTCATGGTCATGGCAAAGACTAACTGTATGTACTAGTCGCTCAGTCACATATTTTCAGATAAATCATCTGCGCATGCGCAGTCGGTTCGAGCGTGCACAGTCGACTTGACCAGCTGCCCAAGTTCATGGTCATGGCAACGACCAACTGCATCTACTAGCACCGATTTTGAAGTAAATATCACATCATCTGCGCATGCGCTTGAGCATGCGCAGTACATCAAGCTGTTTGTAGTCAGGGCAACTACCAACTGTACCTACTTGCATTACTTTTGGGCTAAATCACTCACTTAGTCGCAAATTGTTAAAGAAATCTTCTGGGTATGCGCAGTAGTGACTTCATTAATACCAAAACTTTCGTAAGCCTATGAGTATTTGTATATATATATATAAAGTCAATACTAGGTATAGTAGATGTCAACTAGCAGTGGAAGCTGGGTGCGATTAGGTATGCAGTGGCTTTAGGGGCCCAAGTCGCGACCGCACTCTCCCTGCGTACCCCGAGCAAAGCCTATCGCAGGTGATCTCGGGGTCTGATGGGCGGAAGCTTGCTACGTATTGGCATCCCCAAGTAGGATAGCATGGAGGGGCCGAAATCTCCTACCGAAACGTTAACATGCGGCGTTCTAGTGCCTTACGCTTAAGATGGTATCGGGAAGCATGGACCGAAAACGGGGTTTTTTTGCTTTTGAATTTTCTTTTTCTTTATCTTAAGAGTTGTTCTCATAAAATAAATCAAATAATGTTTCAATTATCTTCTTCTGACACTTATAATTTAAGACAACCTTAAACATCTTTACAATCATTACAAAAAAGTCATTAGCGCGACAACATGCCAGTATTCAAGCTTTCCTTCGATCGTTGTGCTTTTTCTAACGTAAAATAGTAAATATTTATTGTTATGCCTTTATAAATAATCGTTCTGAATAACTAGAATCAGACTCAAAAATGCCCCAAAACTCAAAAGCATCTCCTAACTATTTCATTCATACTAGTCTAAATAAACAATACTATCTCCGACTATTTGATTGTGTTTTTGATTGAATTTTCGACACGTGTCTGATACCGTCGGAAAGGTGGATTGACTCTCAATGCTAACCTTCATTTTCACCATTCCGAGTGTTATACGAAAGAGTACGACGGAGCCTTCGTAGAAAAACTGATCCCAAATCCTCAAGAGAACCTAGTGTGAAAAAACGCAACCATATCAACAGTTTCTTTCAATAATCATATGCTATAATAAAAATGCAAAACAATTCAAACGGGAGTAAACAAATAAAGTAAATGGTTTGAACCCAAAGAGTATCTTTACATGTTTCTAGATGTAAATCGTCCATGTTGGTAAAGTCCTGAGAAGGACTGTTGATGTTGATGTTAACTGACGTTTCGACAACCTTGGCGGTTGACTCTGAAGATGACTACAGCTAAGGATGTCGAAACCTCAGTCAACATCAACACGAACAGTCCTTCTCATGTCTCTGATAACCTGGACGATCTACATCCACAAAATTTTTAAGTAAACAAACAGTTTAAAATTAAAAAGACATTGATCATGAAGTGCAGCAAGCAAAAGGCTTTATTCTTAGCAAGTAAAAAGATATGCCTTAAATGTGTTAAAATCCATATTTTTTTCATTTCGTTTGTGTTTGCAAATCCTATGGCTTCACTTCTTCACTCCGACGTTCTCCTTCAGCGCCTTGCAGGCAAAAATAAACCCTAAAATATCCCACCTTCATTTCCACAACACTCCCTCAGCGCCTTGCAGGCAAAAAGAAACCCTAAAATATCCCACCTTCATTTCCACGACACTCGCAAACAATGTAATAAACCAATGTAGCGTTATAAGCGATAGTTCTGTAAAAATATAAAAAATATTCAGAAAAGATTCAAAAACAAAAATAGTCTATTTCTTAACAATTCGTTTAAGTCAATGTTACTGTGTCTCATACACATTCCACGTGACATTTTCACAATATTCATTAAACATATATTATAGAGTATTTTAATGGAAACTAAAAAAGAATAGAACATGCATAAATGAATAGCCCTCCCCTCCTTCCAAATATCAATCCACCACTGCCCCTGCATGCCTTACGATAGGACATACAGTCGTAATAAAATGAATGGTTTCAACCCAATAGTATCCATGTATATTTGTAGATGTTGATCGTCCAGGTTAGTAAAGTCCTGAGAACGACTGTGGAAAAATACAACCGCAAACGATATCAAAACGTTTATCAACACTTACACCAAAACTCCTTACAGTACTGTACAAACCATGATAATCAACATCTATAAAAATGTGCAGTCGTATGTCGCTATTATATATAATTGACGCCTAACCTATGTCATGTTCTTTTAACGATTCATCCAGTTTTGGTAGATAACTGACTATGAGTTGTCTTAATACTCTTTGATCAGCCTGCAAAAACAATTTAAACTTCTTCTTCGTTCTACGTTTTATGCAACAAACACGTGTACATTGAGACTTGACAGTCGTTCTACGTTTTATGCAACAAACACGTGTACATTGAGACTTGGCAGTCGTTCTACGTTTTATGCAACAAACACGTGTACATTGAGACTTGACAGTCGTTCTACGTTTTATGCAACAAACACGTGTACATTGAGACTTGGCAGTCGTTCTACGTTTTATGCAACAAACACGTGTACATTGAGACTTGACAGTCGTTCTACGTTTTATGCAACAAACACGTGTACATTGAGACTTGACAATTTCACAATTAGTGGAGTAGCCAGCCCGCAAATTTGGTCTTGCTAGGTTAATTTTTCTGTGTTCACCCACTGTGAAATCAATAGATTTGTAAGGAAATGAATAATGACAATGATCTAAAGTTTACATAGAAGGACAAAAACTTGCGGGCTAGCTACGCCATTGTTTACAATCATTTATGCAAAAAAAACTTCATGGTTTGAATGATAAATATTTTCCAGAAAACTAAAGTTAGTTACTCTGAATGGACATTTTTATTATGTCTTGTTCTTCACGTTACTCTGACAAAGACAAAATTCTGCATTTCAGTAGTAAATTTAACCTAAATTATCTACTAACGTCGGTCATGTCACAGCGTCATGCAGTTGACACGTGATTACATATGTATGAGTTAGATGAACAAACCTGAACTCCAATTAATGTACTTGAATAATATGAAGGGGGAACAAGATCTTCGATGATCGTACACATTAACCAAAATGTGTCTTCTTCTTCAATAAACAGTAATAAATTCGCTACAATCTACAAAGAAATTTTACAATAGGTCCAATGTTTTGAGATCAGATTACTTCCTATAAGAACTTTTGTTTCAACATCAGATCATTCCTGATGAAGACATTAGATTGGAGTATAAAAGAACTCAAGTTTCAACATCAGATCACTTCTGATGAAGACATTAGACAAGAGTATATAACGACTCAAGAGTCAACATTAGATTACTTTTGATGAAGACACTAGACAGGAGTATATAAGAACTCAAGTTTCAAAATCAGATCACTTCTGATGAAGACACTAGACTGGAGTATATAAGAACTCAAGTTTCAACATCAGATCACTCCTGATGAAGATACTAGACAGGAGTATATAAGAACTCAAGTTTCAACATTAGATCACTCCTGATGAAGACACTAGACTGGAGTATATAAGAACTCAAGTTTCAGCATCAGATCACTTCTGACAAAGACATTAAAGGACATAAGAACTGGAGAATATGGACTTAAATTTCAAAAACTTATGCATGCAAAACTAACCATGCCCATTCCCTGACAATAGCCAACATCAGGATAAAGCCACGAGAGACCCTTCAATATCCTTCTGAGCCGTCTTGTTCCTGTGCTGGTCAAAGTTGAGAAACATGCATTGCTTGGCAGCGTTCTCAACAAATCCTTTTCAATCTGTTTAGCGAGAGTGGCTGAACAATCACTTCCGCTGGCTTTGACAATTTGCTAAAAAGATCACAATTCATCTCATGACAAATATAAATTTTACAAGTCTTTAGATGTAAATCTTAAAGGTAAAGTGCAGTCCCTAAAAGGTTCAGTATTGACTGATGTTTCAAAATTCTTAAGGGAAGTCATGGTCAGACCGTGGCTACAGGTAAGAAAACTACCACTTAGTGACTTAGGTTATCAAAATGCAGTCAATATCAACACCAATCCTCGGCTCAATCCGTCCACTTAAATAATATTTCCATGAAATGACAGCTCAGAAAATGAATTAAAAATGGAGAATGTAATTTCAAACCTTGTATGTGAAGTCCATGGATTGTTTCTTATGTAGTGCTCCAGATATCCTCATCCAAATCTGTGAATAAAAAATAATCTTGCAGAAAGTTCAACATGACACAAAAATATATTTAAGTCACATATGATGTCAACTTACGGGTGGTCGCATGCTATGTGGGATACCAGTCAACTTACAGGTGGTCGCATGCTATGTGGGATACCAGTCAACTTACAGGTGGTCGCATGCTATGTGGGATACCAGTCAACTTACAGGTGGTCGATGCTATGTGGGATACCAGTCAACTTACAGGTGGTCATGCTATGTGGGATACCAGTCAACCTACAGGTGGTCGCATGCTATGTGGGATACCAGTCAACTTACGGGTGGTCGCATGCTATGTGGGATACCAGCATGAACAAGTTCTCTTAATTTCTCGCTTCTTGCAAAGATTGGAGACACCTAGTTGAAAAGAAAAAAATCATTTTCTAAGTAAATGATGCAATAAGGTGAAAAAAGTTGCAACCCGCTGATTCAACTATAAAATTCCTCCCCCCCTAAATCCCTTTTTTGTACATATTCAAGAAAATGGTTAGATCAACTAGTTTGAAACATGCAAAATTAGTGATAAAGGAATTATTAAATATAGAATGTTTATAAGAGGGTGCATGCAGGTTGATGTTGATGCATAACTCCTAATTGACTATAGCAACCCCCCACCTCCCACAAAAATTAAAAATAGTTTGCATATAGTAGGATTTTATTTGGGATATCATCATCAGCCAGAAGATCAAATGCTACATGACTAAGACTTATATTAAGAATGCACTTAGTAATTGACAACTCAAAGCTCAAGAAAACATTTTCTAGCTCAACATTTTGAAAAATCGGCACACCCTAATTAGCATTGAACACATGAACATGAATTACTTGACATACCTTATCCCAGGTGAGTTCACCAAGATCCTGGTTTTGAGTAAACTCAAGATGAGCCTGCCATTTAAGTTTGTGATTTGGATTTTCATCCGTAGCAAAATGATTTGACTCCAATGGAGCATTTTCACCTGTGGTTAAAGACATTCCAAAGTAAATCACAAAATGTACATAAGTTTAGTTGTAAATTGTGAATTGCTTCATCATCTCACCTCTTGTAGACAAAAGGCAACAGAATTACATAATTTAAACATAGAAACTTGCTCAATGTACCAAAAACAAATTTTAAAATGCACTTAGCTTTTTAACTTACTTGATTCAACTGTAAAACCAAATTCATCATATTCTCCCCCAGGGCTTACACCAGCATCCTCAGTCTACAAAATTTCATAAGTCAACAGGATCAATGATACATTCAAACAAAAGAATCAACAACATTGGATTGATCTGTTATCTGGGGCCGGTTGCACGAAGCCTGGAGAGCGTTATCCATTGCACAGCAAAATTTTCAAACTGTAGAAAGGTGTTTATATTTTTGATATGACAAAGAAATTTCATAACCTTCAAAACAATATTTTATTTCAGTGATTACTCAGTTTGAATCATATATTTTTTGCTTTTTGAAAGGTTTTACGTGTATAAAAGTTTTAAAAAAATTGCTATCAAATGGATAATGCTATCCAGGCTTCATGCAACCGGACCATGCTCATTTAATTTGTTTGATTAAATCCACTCTATCTATTAATCCATCTCAATCCTTCTCAGTATTTAGTTTGGGCAAATCCTCACTAACTACCAAATTAATCATTCTCAATCTTTCTCAATACGTATCTAGTGTGGATTAAACCCACAATCACAACTTAATCTAATCCTTCTCAATCCTACTTAGTGGTTTATGTGGATTAAATAAATACCAACTACTCAAATTAATCCTTCTTGTTCTACTAGAAAATACTCAACAACATAAAACATGTATCAAGTACAATATAATAGCAACATTTCAGCTCAATTGAGCACGACTATGCTCAGATACCTGCTGTATTCTTGCCAAAATATCTTGTGGCCAAATACTTGGTGTTAGAGCAGAGAAAGGTGCTCCTGATGATGGAACAAAGGAACTATGGATAGGACTATCTGTGGCATTCACTGTCATGTCATCCCATAGTAGACCTTCGTCAGTCTCACTTTCATCATCCTCGCTGCCCAAAGCTTTGTTAAAAGAGAATTATTGCATTGGAAATATTACTAGTTTTCTTATTGAAGTAGAAATAGTTTAATCGAAAGGAATGAAGTTTTTCGTGATTCTGTATTAATACATTTAAAATTGTATTGTAAGTATTGGCATAAAGCTTGATAGAATACAACTTAGCACACAGCCCAAATGCATTGTTGAAAGAAGAAACGAATTAATCAAGAAATGACAAAGTAAAAAGGACATAAAAGATTAATGAATCTCCCGGTCAATGTCCAGGACATAAACTAAACAACAAAGTCGTTTCCTCTTTACTGTCAAAGTGTCGAAGAATACATAAAAGGGTTTTTCACACTAAACTTGTCAAATAGTTTTGTTTCAATTCATACAGTATTTAGAAATCAGTGCCTAAGGTTTAAATATTAATGTACAAAAAAAAACAAGAAAAGTACGTCCGTCGATCGATAAGTCATATCTTCTTTCAAAGAATTTAACGAAGTTTTCTTCGATATTTTTGAACATTTCCCCGTTCACTTAACTTTTACTTAAAGCGCAACAGTAAGGGCTGTTTATGCTAGACAGACATCCTTCCGAAACAACAAGAACGAAAATACATTTTACGACTCAACTTGAAGAAGAAACGTCGGGGAACAGAGATTTATTTTCAAATTAAAAATTAAATGTAATTAGACTCTTCGCGTCTTCCAACTATCGTATTTCATTTTTAAGACACGAGAGTGAGAATAAAAACAAATTAACTTTCTCTTAGCATAGTTCAGAGAAAAGGGATCGAAAATTTGCTAAAAAGCGTGAATGCGATGGAAAATTAGCGATAATGCATTTGCACACGTAGTCAAACGCCATTTGTTGCACTTTGAAGTTCAATGAGCGTAACGGTGTTAAAGTCAAAGCAAGCTGCTATATTTATACCTTTGCTCTTTCTTTTGCTATTGCCAGCCATCTTGTGCCGCTCGAAGGCAAATACACTCGATGGAAGATACATTTCTTTAGTAAAAAATGTTACTTATCTTCCTAGATCAACGACATTTTCCCACACGTTGATGTTGTGGACTTTTACCCGGGTGTTTGGGGAAATAGTTCCGATATAGAGATAAGTTAACTCGAGGGACAAAGGGGGCAACAGAGGAAAACAATTATCACGGGCAATTTTTAAACTATATTATTGTGTTCAATGATATCCATAATGGTTTTTAAATATCAGCATTCTCTATCCATGAATGGATATGCTTCCACTTTACAATTATTATTTAATATCGGAATTATGAAAATTCCTTGAAAAACAACAATGTTGGATTTTTTAAAAACATTCTTGTGTATAGGTACATGATAGGATACATTTTGTAAAAAGTTTAAGCAACTTCAAGTCCATCTGTATCATTTATTATCCCAACGTAACTACATTTAGAACAATTCCTAAGTATTATTTTCAACAGGATCATTCTCTGATTCTTCAGATGCATTTGAGTTCTGTAGTTCAAGAATCTTATTAAAAATTTTCTGTTCAGTTTCACCTTCCTGGCGTAAAAATCCAAAATATACAATGCAAAAAAGCATGCCAAATGTTATCACCAGTCCTGTAAAGGAGCTTCGTCGACCACTATCATAGTATAAAGTGTCATTTACTGTATGATTTTTCGCAGCAGACTTTGAAAATGCTATTGGTTCATCTTTTGAAATTTCTTCACTTGATGATGAAGAGTAATGCTTTTTAGGATAAATGTGTAGATGCATGAGTGGAGAAACAGTTCTGAAAAAGAAAAATTAGTTGAATGTTGAGTCTAGCGAGTCCAAAAGATCCACAAGAATTCAAAAGATTGCATAAGCAGTACAACAGTTGCACAATTGCAGCTTGTCGACATCTTGCCTACACATATAAAATCTGCATTTAAGGACATATAGCACCCCAATAATTTACCTTTTACAATTACAAATCAACATGTGCTTAGTTGCTCTGAAAAATGACGTTGTTAGCAAATATCTCGATGGTAATTTCAAATAGACATTCATCGCTCCAACGAAAGTCGCCATTTTGTTAACTCATTTTAAAGCGCTTCCGTTTTCTTATTTTACATTTCTTCAGTAAAATTTCCCAATAATCAATCGCGTGCCCGCGGTGCACGCTGGTATTAGCACGTGTCTTTTTCTTCCTTCTTTCTTTTTTTGACGCCATCTTGAAGTGGTCAAGATGCCTAAACCAGTTTGTTCGAAGACTTTCACGACTCCTCGTCGTCCTTTTGAGAAAGAACGCTTGGATCAAGAATTGAAGATAATTGGCGAGTATGGGTTAAGAAATAAGCGCGAAGTATGGCGTGTTAAATACACTTTGGCTAAGATTCGCAAAGCTGCTCGAGAGTTGCTGACTCTAGACGAAAAAGACCCGCGTCGTTTGTTCGAAGGCAACGCATTGCTACGTCGTCTTGTACGTATCGGGGTTTTGGATGAAAGCCGCATGAAGCTCGATTATGTTTTAGGCCTTCGTATTGAAGACTTCTTGGAGCGACGTCTTCAAACTCAAGTTTTCAAATTGGGTCTGGCAAAATCTATCCATCATGCTAGAGTTCTTATTTTTCAGCGTCATATAAGGTTGAATTGAAGTTTTGATGAGTTAAAAAGCATTTTAATTGCTGGAACTCTTTTGATCATGTTGACTAAAGGCTCATCGCATTTCAATTGTCAATTCTTTGATTTCAGGGTTCGTAAACAGTTAGTCAACGTACCTTCCTATATAGTACGTTTGGATTCGCAGAAACACATTGACTTTAGTTCTAAATCACCATATGGTGGTGGTCGACCTGGTCGTGTAAAACGTAAGAACATGAAGAAAGGAGGTCAAGGTGGATCTGGTGGTGAAGATGAAGATGAGGATTAAGACTGGGTGAGAAACTTCTGTCAATCACAGCGTGAATATTGAGCCATCCACACTCTCATATCTATTGGTACATTAAACAATCCAGCGTCTTCATTTTTTTAGATTCATAGATTTCACTACTCCAACCCCCACCCCCCTTGCATGCCCAAATTCGGCCATATTTTGTCAGATTCTTTCTGTTTTCATTATCACTCATACAGAGAGGGTAACCCTCTGTCCAGTTGTTTATGATTTTAAGTTTAATTTTTATGTTTATTTAGGTCTCTCTACATGTGAAAGCTGCCATGTGGAATATATAATTCTTACGAGACATTGTAAATCAATCAATAAATTTTGATGCACAATTCAATGTTCTGTTGTGATTTTGTTGTGTATATTATGGGTGATGGGAGAAATAATCTTAATGCAGTAACAAAATTAAATTTTAGTGACATATTTATAACAATGGGATGTGCCATAAAATTATAAAACCTAAAGATTTGCCAAGAGCTGAAATTTTGTGAAGTTTGTACAAATTGTTGTATGTGCAATCATATTGTCAAGTTTGAATTAAATCCGTGTCGGATAATCCATGATATAAGGAAGGAACTTTTAAATTTTAAAGAATCTTTGCAAGAAGCAACATGTTAATCAGATTGAAGATCATGGAATCGGGTAAAGATTAAGGATTACAAAATAACAGTCCCAGTCTCCCAACGCTCTCGTCTAAATCTAAATAGTATGAAACAATATTAAAACAAAGCAAAGAAAAGATTTTACGTTTTTATTAGTTGACTAAGTTGAGGGAAGCTTAGTACTTTCCCCGTGTTTCAAAAAAATTCATTAAGCTACGGTGAAGTAAACATATTAAAAATGGCTCTTGAAAATACGGTCCAATTATCCGAGAAATACGAAGCAGTTATGGTTCTCAGTGGAGTGGGGGATGCTCTACGTTATAAGAATGGTTTGTGGGAATTCTGTTACAGTGGTACTCAAATTCATGAAGAACTAGAAAAACTCGGAGGACTTGATAAAATTGACATTAAAGGATAGAGGGTTAGTGACGACACTGTACTACACATTGCTACAGCAGAAGCGTTGGTTTCTGAATGGACAACAACGGAAGAGTTATTGAGCATTATGGCTACAAAGTACAAGAAGACATGTGCTGAGGATATGTGGGAAAGAGCTCCTGGGCAGACCACAACAAAGGCATGTTTCATGTTACGACCTCTTGAGGAAAAAGGTTACATTATACCATTTAATGAACGAGGTGGCGGATGTGGTGCAGCTATGAGATCCATGTGTATAGGTTTGATGTTTCCTTGTGAAGATCAAATTGAAATGTTAATTGAAATTGCTGTTGAAAGTGGAAGGATGACTCATAATCACCCCACAGGTATTCACCTTTCATAATAAAGCAATGATTTCAGATCATGTATCAATTATCAAGTCACTAATGTCTAGTGTTCTGTCTATCGACAAGTGTTGCTTTGTTTAAAGTTTGCTAAGTTTTCCTGTTATCTGCATTGCTTTTCATTTTAACAAACCTTTATGATAATTTAGCTTTTCAATCCTTTTGCTTTTCTTAGAAGTTTTATCTTCAACTCTTCCTTGGATTTCTTACTTGATGAAGCCATTACCTTGAATGTTTCATATCCTTTTATCTAATATCAATTTATAAATGAAATAAAAGAAGGTTGACCTTAGGTTTGCATAAGTCTATGCAATCCATCATTTTCTAGAACCACATCTCAAATGCCTCCATCCTTCTAACATTGCTCACTTTAAATGACCATATCTTTGATCCATCCCTTTTATTGCTTTTCCACATTTCCAAATTTCTGTCTTCTAAAAACTGTTTGAATTGCCATTGCTGTTTTGCTTTAATATCTTCACTACTACAGCCATTCAATCCATGATCCATATCAAAATGCCGCTATTATGTAAATAGGGTCATCATAATGTGACCTAAAATTAGCAATCTTTAAAGATAATGATTTTAATTATAGGTTATCTAGGGGCTGTTACTACAGCTTTATTCACAGCCTATGCTATACAGAAGATGGCTCCAAAAAAATGGGGAGCAGGACTTTTAAGTGTTTTACCCAAAGTTTGGGAATACATTGAGAAGGTTGGTCGTGATGTAGAAGAAAACAAGAAATCTTGGGGCTACTTTAAAAATAGTTGGGAGTCATATCTTGAACTACGGGGATTAATGAATGGAACCAGTGAACCAAAATTTCCAGTGACATATAACATACCTGAACGTGATGCTTTTTATAAATCTGTCAGTTATGCAGGTTGGGGTGGATCCAGTGGTCATGATGCACCAATGATTGCTTACGATGCTTTGATGATGGCAAAAGATTCCTGGTTTCAAATGTGTTCTTGTTCTATGTTTCATGGTGGAGATAGTGACAGTACAGGAATATTGGCTGCAGCATGGTGGGGTGGTATGTATGGTATGAAAGGTGTACCCCTTGGAAATTATAGGAACCTGGAATATGGTCATAGGCTTATGGAGCTTGGTAAAAAATTACTGAATGTATCAAAGAATACGAACAACTAACAGGATAGTATTTATTTAACAAAATTCTGTCATCCCAATATACTTTAGTATGTTTGTAAATCATACAATAAAAATTACTACTTGGTTATAACATAAAAGCAAATTACTTTAGAAATAAAGTCTAAAGAAGAATGTCAGATTCAGGACATGGGCAGTTCTAAGTTCTACTTAGGATGATTCCCAGCTGTAAAGTAAGTTTATTGACTAGATATCAGTGAAACTATATATAGACAAGGACCATTACATCTTTAGGTTCATTTTACCTCACAAAATGCAAATTGCAAACTTTTTATTCACTACCGAAAATACCTTCTGAGGGACAGGGGAGTTGACTTGGCAAGTGGAAGCCTTGCTCCTACGGTCTATGTGTTTAAAATAGGCTTAACATAATTTGGAATGTACAATTTTCTTTGAAACACGTAGCTATCAAAGTGTTACTGTAAAGCTTTGTCATATTCCCGAGTTTCATAGTACAACACACATAGATTTTTCAAAAGACTTATCGTCATCAACCTGACTAGTTCCTAACGTTTTTTTGCGAATTTCCTTAGCTTTTTCATGAAACTCTATAGCTTTGTCGTAGTTTCCAGTTTTATAATACACATTACCAAGATTGTATAAAGACGCAGCGACATGATCATGATATGGACCTAACGATTGTTTTTTAATTTCCAGAGCTTTTTGGTGAGCCTCTATAGCTTTGTCGTAGTTTCCAGTTTCAGAATACACCCTACCAAGATTTTTTAAATATGTAGCGACATCAACATGATTTGGATCTAACGATTGTTTTCGAATTTCCAGAGCTTTTTCATAAAATTCTATAGCTTTGTCGTAGTTTCCAGTAACATAATACACACTACCAAGATTGTTTAAACACGTAGCGACATCAACATGATTTGGACCTAACGATTGTTCTCGAATTTCCAGAGCTTTTTCATAAAGCTCTATAGCTTTGTCGTAGTTTCCAGTATCACTATACACATTACCAAGATTGTTTAAAGACCAGCGACATCAACATGATTTGGACCTAACGATTGTTTTGAATTTCCAGAGCTTTTTCATAAACTCTATAGCTTTGTCGTAGTTTCCAGTTTTTTAAACACTACCAAGATTGTTTAAAGACGCAGCGACATCAACATGATTTGGACCTAACGATTGTTTTCGAATTTCCAGAGCTTTTCATGAAACTCTATAGCTTTGTCGTAGTTTCCAGTTTCATATACACATTACCAAGATTGTTTAAAGACCAGCGACATCAACATGATTTGGACCTAACGATTGTTTTTAATTTCCAGAGCTTTTCATAAACTCTATAGCTTTGTCGTAGTTTCCAGTTTTTAAACACTACCAAGATTGTTTAAAGACGCAGCAACATCAACATGATTTGGACCCAACGATTGTTTTCGAATTTCCAGAGCTTTTTCATGAAGCTCGATAGCTTTGTCGTAGTTTCCAGTATCACTATACACATTACCAAGATTGTATAAAGACGCAGCGACATCAACATGATTTGGACCTAACGATTGTTTTTGAATTTCCAGAGCTTTTTCATAAAGATCTATAGCTTTTTCGTAGTTTCCAGTTTCATAAAACACCAAACCAAGATTGTTTAAAGACATAGCGACATCAACATGATTTGCACCTAATGATTGTTTTCGAATTTCCAGAGCTTTTTCATGAAACTCTATAGCTTTGTTGTTGTTTCCAGTATCATTATACACATTACCAAGATTGTTTAAAGAACTAGCGAAATCAACATGATTTGGACCTAACGATTGTTTTCGAATTTCCAGAGCTTTTTCATAAAGCTCTATAGCTTTGTCGTAGTTTCCAGTTTTTTTAAACACACTACCAAGATTGTTTAAAGACGCAGCGACATCAACATGATTTGGACCTAACGATTGTTTTTGAATTTCCAGACCTTTTTCGTGAAACTCTATAGCTTTGTCGTAGTTTCCAGTTTCATATACACATTACCAAGATTGTTTAAAGACCAGCGACATCAACATGATTTGGACCTAACGATTGTTTTAATTTCCAGAGCTTTTTCATAAAGCTCTATAGCTTTTTCGTAGTTTCCAGTTTTTTTAAACACACTACCAAGATTGTTTAAAGACGCAGCGACATCAACATGATTTGGACCTAACGATTGTTTTCGAATTTCCAGAGCTTTTCATGAAACTCTATAGCTTTGTCGTAGTTTCCAGTTTCATATACACATTACCAAGATTGTTTAAAGACGCAGCGACATCAACATGATTTGGACCTAACGATTGTTTTGAATTTCCAGAGCTTTTTCATAAAATCTATAGCTTTGTCGTAGTTTCCAGTTTCATAAAACACAAACCAAGATTGTTTAAAGACATAGCGACATCAACATGATTTGGACCTAACGATTGTTTTCGAATTTCCAGAGCTTTTCATGAAACTCTATAGCTTTGTCGTAGTTTCCAGTTTCATTATACACATTACCAAGATTGTTTAAAGACTAGCGACATCAACATGATTTGGACCTAACGATTGTTTTTAATTTCCAGAGCTTTTCATAAACTCTATAGCTTTGTCGTAGTTTCCAGTTTCATATAACACATACCAAGATTGTTTAAAGACCAGCGACATCAACATGATTTGGACCTAACGATTGTTTTGAATTTCCAGAGCTTTTCATAAACTCTATAGCTTTGTCGTAGTTTCCAGTTTTATAAACACATTACCAAGATTGTTTAAAGACTAGCGACATCAACATGATTTGCACCTAATGATTGTTTTCGAATTTCCAGAGCTTTTTCATGAAACTCTATAGCTTTGTCGTAATTTCCAGTTTCATTAAACACCGTACCAAGATTGTTTAAAGACGCAGCGACTTCAACATGATTTGGACCTAACGATTGTTTTTGAATTTTCAGAGCTTTTCATAAACTCTATAGCTTTGTCGTAGTTTCCAGTTTTATAAACACATTACCAAGATTGTTTAAAGACGCAGCGACATCAACATGATTTGGACCTAACGATTGTTTATGAATTTCTAGAGCTTTTTCGTGATGATTTTTAGCTTTGCTAAACTTCCCAGTGTCATGGTATAAAAGACCAAGGATATTAAAATACCAAGCTTTGTCATAACTAGATTCTTCTGATTTAAATTTATCCAATAGTTCAAGAGCAAGATCGTATTTTCCAAAATGTCTTAATTTGTCAACAAAATATTGGAAAACTTGTAAAGTGTTCATGTTTTTTGTCTTGTTGGTCTTTAATAATTGAACAATTTTTCAAGATGTGGCATTAATTTGATTTCGTCGTCTCTCTCTTTAAACATGTAAAGTGCTTTAGATATTTGATCAACGTTAGTTTCCATTTCATGTTCTTCATTTGAATGTTCAGATTGATAAACAATAATTGCTTTGTGAACAATGCGATGTAGACTAATGTCATTATTTTCTGAATGCAAGAACAATGAGCAGTCCTTTAAACAAAGACATATATCTTCCTTTGAGTGTTTGGGATCAATTTTTGAACATAAAAACAATAATGTCTCGTGGTATAGGATCAAACGATATCACGGAAAAAAAGTTAATAACATTTGCCAATATTGAGGATTCTTCAGCATTTTGTCTGACAGCTAAAAGCGAAGCTTGTAACATACTTCTAGGATATACGGAGTTAAATTTAACAAAAGTGGCGTCCATGTTTTCTTGTTCTTCTGAAGATATTTTCTTTAAATATTGTTTCCAAGTAAATGAGCAGTTTGCTTTGTTTACACGACTGACATAATAACCAGCGGCAACCAAAGCCAGCGGTTGACGATCTAATGCGTGGGATACTTCATTCAACAATTGATCATCATCATTTCATCAGTGTAATATTCAACAGTTGAAAACATTCTTTATCATTCATTCCACTTCTGATAGAAATATGTTTGTTAAACTCATCGTCTTGAGGTACGGCATCTGTGTTCTGGATAGTTACTATGATTTGTCCATTTATCCACATGGGATCACCAACTTGGGGGAGTAATGAAGAAATTTTGCTGAGCTGTGCCACGTTGTCTACAATGATCAACCAATTTTGCCAGAATTTTAATCGTGTGGATACTAACGATCGCAAATTCTTCACTTTGTCTGCGATGGAACAATTTTCATCTTCAAATTTTTTAATCATATACTTGTCACAGTTTAAACGGTATCCAAGTTCACAGTAAGTTTTTAAAAGAGATTCCTCATTTTTTCCATCGAGAGTCATTACAAACGAAGTTCTATTTTTCCAATCACACGATATTTTTTCACAAACCTGTCTTGCAAGTTGTGATTTACCACTGCCAGGATTACCAGTGATGTAAAAATATGTCAGTTTATCATTGTTATCATTCCTTAATTTTTCAAGATCTTTTATAATTTTATCTCGTAATTCAGAGCGTTCAACGAAAAAATGATTAGGTTTTGAAGGAAGAACTTGAAATAAATCAAAACTGTCACGATGATTTTTTATTTTATTGATTTCATCGAGAGAAAATTTCAAATCTTGAAATGATTTTTCAATGATGTTGACTATATCATCAAAATCATCATCTGAGCATTCCCTTTCATACCAATGTGCGTACTTGTTTCTTTCACAACGAAGTGCATGAACAGCATCCTTTGTTTTTTTGTCAAGGTGCTTTCCAATTGAATTTGAAAAAATTATTGCATCAAATAATATCGTACAGTCCCACTTACTGGTATCTCCATCTTGATATTTTTGTCGAGTTTTTTGGTCTAACTTTCTTCTTGATTCTAAATTGTAAAATTTGTTACCACTGATGTGTGTATCATCCCATTCTCCATAAGTTGATTTGTAACGAGAGTTCCATTGTTTAATGAAAAACTGAGCAAGTTCCTTTTGCACCACGTTAATTATTTGCTGAATGTAAGACAGATTTCTTATTCCTGACGATTCCATCTGTACAAAAATTTGGTATATATCAACAAGATAAAAATCAAGCAAATAAAAAAATATTATACAACCCTTATTAGGTTCAATTGATTTAACTTCACCAAAATCGTCTTAAAATTACAAAAGAACTTAAAAACTAATAATGACAGAGAGCATGTATGCTACAGCTTTTACCAACTGCAGTATCCTGTCAAACAACCTTTAGAAAAATTAAAAAAACATGATATTTTACCTTAATGTTTACGTTACAAAACAGACATAAGAATATATTCTTCAATAATTTGCATAGTCATTTGTGAATGTCATGCCTCTGTATCTAAGAATATGTTATAATGTTGTAGCTAATGGTCTTTTTTAAATTTACTAAGGTTTATGTTTATTTAATTTCATTGACTCTAACGCATTAATTGAAACTTGATTTTATAAATATATATGTTTTACAATATGTAACACAAGATCTTGTTTTTCTTTGGCTATGTACGACAATTGATTGGCAATGGTAAAATTCTTTATCAATTTTATGACCATGAACCACTATTTTGATTAAATTTTAATATGAAATGAGAATTTTTAATCTATGTTGATAAACTAACGCGTTTCGAGGGGATCATTAACGTAAACTCGAATGTTAAATATTGCCTATTGGTCGTGACTTTTTAGAACGCGTATCTACAAATACGATAAAAGTTTTCAGATATAATTTCTATGAGCTTTTACAAAGACCTTTTAGTTCGCAAAATATTATAGATCAGAATGTTAGTAATTTATAACACATCTCTATGGTACGCACCGACTAAAAAGAAAACTAAAAGATAGCAGATTCTAACAGTTTCAATAAGGGAGAAATTAAAGATAGTTTCTTGTAATTGTGTGCTGCTGCGAACAGCATTGGCTATGTATAAAAAAGCATCACTTTGCGACGTTTTCGAGAATCATAAAAAATGAAATAACTTTTTTCATATTTGCAAGTGTTAAACATTATGGACAACGATGTTAACGAGGAAGTTTTATTCTGAAAGACAAGAGAGGCTGTGAAACGTCATAATGAGGATAAAAGGAAAAAAGGAAGACAAATATTTACAAAGGAGCTGGCATTCAGAGGACATAACAAATCAAGCAAGGACAACTATAGAGAGTTTCAAAAGTCATATGGAAATTTATGTTTTGTCTTTGTCTTGAATGCCAGAAGTGACGTAAGAAACGGCTGTTGCACAGTTTGTGTTTTCACTGATGTATCACGTGATGTCCAGAATTATTTGATTGCCTAACTGTATTGATGAAGTTATAAAATGTTCAATATCAGATTGATGAGGAAATCACAGAATTTCAGTTTTTTAATAATTTAATACGACGAAACTTTGCATAAATAAACCTTAGCATCAACAAAAGACATTTGCAAAGCTACAAAGATTATCTAAAGGCTGCAAAGTCTGGAACTATAAGATTTAAAAAGAAATCTTTGATAGGGTACCTAACTTTAAGGTTTTAGCAATGAAGATATTCCTTCTCTCAGTGGTCTATTGTTTTTTCTACCACTAGGAGGTGTGATTACAATCTCAAGTTAACCTCAACTTTGAACTCAGTATTTTACTTCACAGTAACTTAGTAGAAACTTCTTTGCAACTTCCTAATCACAAACACTGACTCCAGCATTTAGCATATATCGAATTTCACGATCCCTTCGCCTTTTTTATTCTGATATATCTGTAGACGGCGTCTTGTTCGTCACTCTTAACAATTCAACTTCTTTATTTTCATGTATACGTTGCGTTGGTTTTAAAAATTGCTTCATGTTTGTGTTGATTTTTGTTGCAATATATAAACATGACGAATTATTTCAGTGTTGCAGGACCGTCGACATTTCTGCACATGCACATTTTTTTGTAAATTACTGCTTAAGTATTGTCGTTTACTAGAAATGTTGTTTTTATTACGATTATTTCTGTACAGTTTTTTAAATTCATGAATTTTATAAACAAAACTCATATTTCATTACGGGGACATTTTTTTTGGTCAACCACTGTAGATGTGTCGTATCACTATGTGTGACAACACGTCAAAAATAACATCATTTCTTTCAAGCGTTGCAAAACAGAAGACATGATTGGTGATATAATCCTTTTGTCGG